GGGGGCGCTTACGCGAGGGAAAGCGTCGATGGTAGCGCCGCGGCGGTCCGTCACCCCGACGGACCCCGGCCCATCTTCCTGCAGCCCTTTAAAGACCGTCAGAACGATGAAATTCCGTTGAGAGCAAGAAAGTTGCGCACCGGGCGGGAGCCGAACCCGCGATGGTTCGCTCCACAGTCCGACGCGCTAGCCACTACACCACAGGGCCAAGTGGGGAAGGGAGTCAGAGACGCCCCAAACCCCAGAGGGCCTTTGCCCAGTACGGGGCACCACTAATGACGCATCTCTCCGCGCGTTCTGGGGGGCAGCACCCTCGGGGTGACAGTGCGCGTTCCATCGTTCTGGTAGTCTTTAAGATTTTTTAATACAGCCCTGATGGAGTTATTAAACCGGCGAAATGAAACTTGCCGCCTTCTTGAGGTGAAACACAGAATTTCCACTAAAAATCAAAACTCTCAAATGACTCCCAAGTGCTCTCTGCTAGTTTTTAAGGGGAGCGCGACATGTCTGATAGAGCATGGCTCTTTTGCATTATCGGGGGGGGGGAGGGGTGAGCAGGAGTTTTGGGCGCTGGTCGAAATGCATGAAACGTCTGATGATGCGGTTAGATTAGACTTTAAATTGCCCCGAAAATATGTAAAGGTCAGTGAAACATTTTTCGTAATTTTGCGTCATTTAAATTTCCCAAAGAATCTCCGCTAGCCTGCCCTGATGCTTGTCAGTTCCGGAACCAAATATTACCCTATTTTTTCACTTTCCGGTTGGCTCGAAGCCCAGGGGAAATTTTCAAACCAAAAAAAAATCCGCTCCATTTCCGATTCCGATTCTTTCCTGTTGGCATGTTTCGTCTCTGGGCCTAGAGGGTTGGGCGGGAATTCTTTTTTTCTTCTTTTTTTAATGCGCCAAATCGTGTGTGAAGCCGTGAAAGGGCAGTCGACCGGATTCCGGCCGCCCGTCCCGCCGCTGGCCACGCCTCAAAAATTCTCAGAATTTTTATGGGACACCCCCGAAAAGGAGGCGTGGCTTGGGCGAGAATACCGACAATGTTCCGAATTTTTCCGGATTTTTTGATGGGTTCTTGTGCATTATCGGGGGGAGCAAATTTTTCTTAACTTCCAAGTTTCTAAATAGATAAACCGTTTTAAATTGTTTTTGCTAGCCCTGAATCCAAAATTTTTTCCAAAATTTTGATTAAAAAGACAAAAAATATCGATTTTTCGTCCAAAATGAGCGATTTTGAACAAAATGTCGCTTTCTAGTTTTTTTAAGTTTTTAAAAGTTTTGCTAGCTGAAATATAGTTAAATTTTGCTATTTTATTAAATCACCTACGCAGGGATGTCATCGTCAAATTTTCTGTGCCAAGGCGAGAAAAATAAATGTTTTAGCTACCTTCTAAGCATAAATTTTTCAATTTTGGTTAGTTCCAGTTCGTTTGAGTTTTTGGGATCGTGAATTTTTGAAAAATTCTTGCAATTTTTAGTTACTTTTAATGGTGGAATTAAAGGAACAAAATTAGATATAATCTTTTAAGACGAACCTATGAAAAATACGGAATTTAACAAATCAACACAAAATTGTGTTTTTAAATTGTGTTTTTAACAAAAAAAATGTTTTATCGACTTGTAAAGTTGCCAAATCAAATTTGTAGATTTTGTTGATAGCTAATACCGCTGATTCCATACTTTTACCCAAATTTTTCCCTATACTGTATTTAGTGCACAGAAAAAAGCAAAAATCAGAAAATCATAAATCATAAAAATGTAGAAAATTCGGAAAAGACGTGTTTTATCAAAAGTACAGTTTTGCTGGTTTTTGAGTGGCTTAATGGGCATCCGGGATATCCTACTGCATGGTCTGAATTATGATTATCCAGACACAAATTAGCCTTATTTCAATTCCGATTTATTTCCGGAATAAATTTTGTTTGTTTAATCCCGAAATAGATTAAGATAAAAGACAAAATGCCAAACGTAACAATAGACAATTCTCAAGGAAAAACATGTTTTATCAAAATTCCACTGACAATGGTTTTTGAGTGAATTAATGTCAACCGGACCGGCATTTGACTGGAACTTTGCTTTTTCGAAATTCACTTTCAATTTAGTTTCCTGTATTAATATTCAGATTTTAATGCCGAAAAAAGGCAACAAAAATAGAAAAAATAAGAAAATTTTTGAAAGCATCTTTTATCAAAATTCCAGTAACAATGGTTTTTTGAGTGCCTTCATGTCGATAGCGCCGCGCTAAGACCTAAATTTTCTTTATTTAAATTCCTACCGTTTCCCCCATTGGTAATATCCCACTTTCACATAACGCTAGACGTGATAAGGAACAGAAAATTAAAACTAAACTTCTTTTAAAAACATGTTTTATGAAAGTTACAGTATCCATGGTATTTTCGTGGCTTAATGTGAACTTCACCATTTTTTTCTTTCTATTTTGATTTATTTTTTATCATACTGCTATTTTATTTATTTTATTTTTACAGTAATCCTCGACACCAACAGAACGATCGAAAATCGATGGGCAATATCGAGTCGGCCGCCGACGGGTCGTTGAGGTGATTTAGAACGTTTAAATTAAAGAATTAAATTCTATATTTGGATAAATTTTTTATTGATACAATAAAGCGTTTGCAAAAACTTTAGGTAAAAATCTCCGAAGGATCAATTAGTTTTCAAAATTATGAAGTTTTTTGCTGAATTTTTGAAGCATATGAATTTCCTAGATTGCTCAAAAACATTTTTTATCTTAAACAAATTTTATTAAACGTTAAAAATAGTAAAATCCGTCTGAAGATTCAGGGTAATTTTTAGATTAGAAAAACCTAAGCTTCCAATTATTGTAGACAACCCCAATCCGAAAAATTACAAGTGTTTGGACCTTTATTTTTAACCAAATTTTGAAACATGTAATTTTTCAAAATTTTTTGGAAAATCGGGACCAATGCAAACCTATTAAGATATTTATATATAAATACAAATTTACATAATTATAAATTTTTAGCCGACGCTCCTCCCAACGAAAAAGCCGCTCGCCGTCCCCGAGCTCCCAGAAGCGGAGCAACAGCTTACGGTAGGAAAATCGGGCGTTTGTGGTACTGCGCTGTTAGCGGGGGGGGATAATTTTTCGTTGTTTTCGTTTAGTTTTGGGTTCTGGAAAAACCCCCCTCGCTAACAGTCCAGGACCAATTTTCTCGTTTTTTTTTGTTTCAGGTTTTTAAGTAAAAAATGATGATTTTAAATTCTAAGAATAATTCACCAATAAAAATCAATTCGAAATTAAATTTTAAATATGAAAGTATGGAACCACTAAAGTTCAATCATTGCTTTTTTAAGTTTAGTTATATAAAACACAGTTTTTTCAGCCGCAATCAAAACGGGGCGATCCGGGCGGAGCAGCCGCTGATTCGGCGCAGCAAGACGTGCCGAGTCAAGGATCGGCAAGTGTTTTCGTTTTAAAAAAATTGTGTTTCGAAAAATATCAAAACTCGAAAAATTCCGAAAGTCGCTGATTGCCACAACCTTTGTGCTTTACGAAAAAAATTCGAAAAAATCTGAGGTATTAGCCATATTATATTAATTCTTTATGCTATTCTGGCACTCTATAAAATTAAAATCAGCGAAAATGTGTATTTATGTAAAGCGGTTTTTATGTAAAAAGCATTTTAAAAAACTCGTTAAAAATAGGAAATTAGGCTCTTCGAAATATTCGATTGATTTTGGACAGAATAAGGAGGCGTTTCATATAAGTTCCAAATTTGTGAAAATTGGCAGAAAAAAATTAAGGCAAATTGTTCGATAAAAATTCCTTATGTAAGATGTATGATTAAATGTAAAAATTTCCTTGTATACTAGGCTGCTTGAATTTGAGCTCTTCGTCTCTTTGGCCGTAGCTTTTAATTTTTTTGTTAAAAAAGTTGAGGGATCAGGAGGTATAGACGTTTTCGCTGTATAAAAAATTGCTGCGCTTCCGTTATAAAGATTTTAGGCCATTTGAAAAAGTAAACAATTTATGTTCTCTAATTCTAAGTTAAAAGTTCAGAAAAAGTAAATAGGCTTTCTCGCTAGATGAACATGTTTCGAAAATTGAAGAGTTCAGAGAAAATCTAATGGTTCCAATATTCGGCACGGCCCCGAGCGAATGAGAGGAAAATATCCAAGTTGCTCTATGAAAACCGAGAACCATTTTTGTTTGTAAAATTTAAGTTAAGAAAAAGCGTTTCTCTCCCTTTGTCGCGCGGAAAATTGAGACGCCAATCCCATTGTGTCTGACCCGAAAAATATGTTTCACAAAATTTCAAAGATCGCAAAAGTTTTTTGGCCAACAATTTCCTTAGATTTAGATAATTCCACTTACAGAAAGACCTTTAGCAGTTATTAATACTAAAATAAAATCAATTCACTTTATTGAAAATATCGTCAGCTTTTTCCTGAGCTGTCTTCTCAAGCAAACGTCAGATTTTTCGGTTAAATTCTGCTTTTGGACGCAAAAAACAGATTTTCCTAAAATTCCAAAGTCCGGGAGAAATTTTATACAATCTTCCTAGAGTTTATCCACAAAAAGATGTCATTAAAGGTCCCAGATTACTTCGCGATATAAAAATGCTGTTTTATCAAACCTCCAAATTCTGAAAATTTTTGGACTCACAATTACACCCAAGCCCTCGAAAATTGCCCTTGTTGTTTGCTTAACATAGTATTTTAATCTCTACATTTAATAAAATTATTCTATTTAAAATGCGTCATAAAAAATTAACGAAAATTTCAGAACGCAACGCATCCGGCCGCTTTGCATGATCACCGGGTTGAGCAGTCATCAGGCAAGATTTTTTCGGGTTTTGTAATACCTGAAAAATTCATAGACTTTTGCCTTCAATGGTTCTTTAAAACTACGAAAATTCGGAATTCACATGTTTTAAATGCTCTGTATTGAATATTTTTATCTTAATTAGTCTTGATATTTTTAGAAAACAATCCTCGCGAAAAGGTGGAACAAAATGGACAACGCCAGGTTGTACGAGATGGGAAAGTGGGTTCATTAGATTAAATGTATTTTAATTTAATTAAAAATCGGCTTTCATCGTAAATTTCTTTAATTCAAACTCTAGAACGTAAAACTTATAAAAATTGCTAAATATAAATAAAATAGATTTTTTTGTATTTGTACGAATTTAAAAATCAATAGAAAAGTTAGATTCACGATTCCAAAATCCGAATTTTAGCAATTCTAGCTCAAAACCTATCCCTATCGCCAAAATATAAGGCAGCCAATGCTGTACGTTATTTGAAACATTTTTGCAAAAATTTTTTAAGACTCAAAAATTTCAATTTTTTTTGCTTCCTTGTAATTAAATTTTCATCGAATTCAATACTTTTCAAAGTACGCACTAACTTTTTCGATAAACAAATTAAATTGTGCCTTTTTTTGGATATTTTTGGATATTTACGAAACTTGCATTTTTCAGAAAAGTCTTCGAGGGTCTCTTCACTGAAAATCCCTCATTTCTGCCATTTATCGGGCTGTCGGCAAGCGAGAATTGGCGGAAGTCAATTGTTTTCCGGCTTCATGCACAGGTAAGGTCTCTGTTTGGGCTTAGGCTTGGCTTAGGCTTAGGCTTAGGCTTAGGCTTAGGCTTAGGCTTAGGCTTAGGCTTAGGCTTAGGCTTAGGCTTAGGCTTAGGCTTAGGCTTAGGCTTAGGCTTAGGCTTAGGCTTAGGCTTAGGCTTAGGCTTAGGCTTAGGCTTAGGCTTAGAGAGATCGACCATAGAAAATGGCCATATCGATAGGCTTCGGTGAATTTTCGATTTTTTGCCGTTACTGCTCGTTAAAGAAAGCGGCTTTTAAAAAGATGATGTTAATGTTTCATATTTTGCTAAAGATGGAGTTTTTCGAATTCGTTTATTGCGCAGTCGTTTGGAAGGAGAAAAACTTGAATTTTTCACAATCCAGTTGCTTTTTAAACTTGCTATTTAAGTGTTTCACGCCATGCCAAAAAATAAGATTTCGTGAAAATCCCCGTGCATTTTAGCTCAAATTGAAGTCCTAGCAAAAGATCGCAAATTTTCAAAACTTCTGCGTTAAAGGGGGATTCTATTATTTGAATGTTTCGTTTATTTCATGACCAATTGTTGCACGAATCGGCAAGACGGACAGTTATTTCGCTTCAGAAAAATTCTGTTTCAGATTTTTTTAAACTCGCAATTTTTGTAGCCTAGCAATTATCGTATGTTTCGGCTCTAAAAATGACGGATTTTGGAAAAAATAGCAAGCTTTCAATTTTTTTTTTCTTTCATAAGTTTTTCAGTCACGCGCTTTTTGAACATGAGAACGACAAATCTCGCAAAATTCCCAATTTTTCAAAGTTCCGAGTGCTGATAGCCCCTTATTAGGCACTAGGGAATTGGGAGCCGATTTTTCGAGACCTTTGCAAAATTCGCTTTTGGGGGTGATGTCCAGAGGAATTGATCGTACCCCGGGGACACGTTAAAGATATGGGGGAATTCGGGCAGTTAGGGAAGTGCAGAAAAGAACACTGAAAAACCCAGCATAAAAAGGGATAGATAAAATTTATCGGGAAATTTATGGTGGTGCATTAATGGGCTAGACGTGACAAGTAGCCACTGAAAATCTGAAACATTCGCAAAAATTGAGGGAAAATTTCTGAAAAAAAAATTGGATTTTAGAAACTTTTCAAACATGACTTTTCCAAAAAAAATTATAAGTAACATCAATATTGTTTATTTATTGACTTTAGTGTATTTAATTTTTGAATTTTTACGAAAACGTGAAGCAGTGAAAATTCCGAAACATATATGATTAAAATTTTAGAGATAGTGAAACATAATGAAAAATTATGGAGGATCCAGCTTCGATTTTTCAAAAAAAAAATCGAAACACGATTTTTCTGCCTGAAATCGCCGTGTCGATTTGTAGGGGCAGACTATCTCTGAGGATTATAGTATCCCGCAGGCAGTTGTGGTGCATTAACAATAAAAAATTATTTGGTAGTTCCATTATCTTCGCAACATATTTTTTTGCAATTGGTAAATTGATCCAGAAAATCGAGACGTCACATATTGTTAATTGTTAAGATTGCGGCATGCTAGCAGAGATTCTTTGAGGAATTCAGAGCCTAAAAATTTGGTGAATAAAGTTTATGACATTTTTTTCAGCGCTTTGTCACTGCGGTCTGCGAGAGCCTGAGGCGGATGAGGGACACCCAGGCTGCTTGTGATGTGTTACGGTAAGCCGGGGCAGACTAGCAGAGAGTCATTGCGGAATTTGGAACGACCGGAAAATGGGAAAATCGAGGATCTCGCGAAAACTCCCCACAGGAAAACAAAGTATTTGAGCGGGTTTGCAAAAAACTGTTTCACAAAAATGGCTACTTCGCAAATTTCATTTTCATTATTCCCGCCAACCGCCAGGTCTCAAAAAAATTTAATATCGACTTGATTTTTATTTTTTTGCATTGCTACATGAATTTCGCGTTATCAAAAATTAATCCAGCAAAGCAAAAAAAATGTTTCGTCGAGCTGCTGAATTAGGAAATCCATTCACCGACATTATGAACAAGCTAAAAATGCAATTTTTATATGGAAATTCTAAAATAAAATTTTATAATTTTACATAATAAACCAGGGTTGAAAAGCCGCTTCGCGACTTTTCAACCCTGGCCCCGACTGGGCCGTATGAAAGTGTACACTTTGCATAATTCCACCCGCATACCATGAACGAAAAATGAGAAGCACGGCTCTCTCCCCCTTTTAATAGGCTAGCTTCACTTCCGGCGCATGCTAATTACTTCCTAACAAAGAGGCTGAGCGAAATTTTCACAAAAACCTAATTTTAATGTCGAAAACAGCTTATTTTCAAAACATTGATAGGTGTGCAGTCGTGTCATGACCATTACGCACCTAATGACATATCATACATATCTCTAACTTCTTCCTTTATTGAGATACGACTGGAACATACGGACGGAAGTTGCATGCAAATGCACACACACACACACACAGACACTATTTTTTTATATATAGTAGGATTTAATAAACTTTTTTCAGGGACTTCGGGGCGCACTACTCGGGCCACAAAATTCCGAACGCATACTTTGAGAAGATGGCAATGGCCCTATGCGGGGCAATCAAGGAATTCGAGGGGCAGACGACGCTGATTGAGCCTGAGGTGGGGGAGAGAGAGTGCGTGAGAGAGGAGAGAGAGAGAGAGAGAGAGAGATATCCCTGGAGAGAGAGATAGAGAAAGAGAGAGTGAGCGAGAGCGAGAGAGAGAGAGAGAGGGAGGGAGAGGGAGAGTGAGAGAGAGAGAGAGAGGGAGGGAGAGGGAGAGTGTGAGAGAGAGCGAGAGAGTGAGAGAGCATCTTGAAACAATTTTGCCGTATAATTAATATGTTTTTCCTCTGTGTAAACACCAAAAAATCAAGTTGTTTATTACTAGGTGGGATATGCTTTTGGCAATAAAATCAACCGATCCTAACGTACAATTAAATTAAATATATATATATAATTAAATTACCTAGGGCTGGAAATTCAGTCAAAATAATTAAGTAAACCGCTAAATAAATTAAAATAAATCGTAAACATCTTTTATGCTTCATATGTTTACGTGTGTTTCCGTTCAATCTCAAGATAAAAATTTTTTGTTTGATTTTTAATGGGTTGCCGATTATGACAGCTATCATCCATTTCTATCCGTTTTAATTAAATTCGTTAAATTGATAACTTCGCCCAATAAATAAATAAAATTTTGTATTTAAATTTCAGTGTTTCAGTTCATTTGCTAGAAAGAAAATTTTGCTAATTTTTAGTATAATCCCGTGCGCTAACTGATTTCCTTTTTTCTGAAATTCCAGCCAACAATCACATTTTATTTAGGTTAAAAATGAAAACATTTTTTATTCAAAATTTTATAATTTTAAATCCATTTAGGCCAATGGTTGCTTAGTATAATCTCAACATTGAATTGAAGGTAAAAATTATTTTATTATTATTTTCAGCAACGCCACCGTTCGCCATCAGCCGACCCATCCTCCTCCTCGGCCACAGATTCCTCAGCCATTTCGAATGGCCAGAAAATCGAGCCGAAACACGGCTCTTCCCTGTCGACAATTTCGAATAATACAACTCGCGGAGAGATCAGCGAAAATAAGTGAGTTTTTATTAAAGAAATTTACAAAATGAATAAAATATAAATCCAAATAAATGAAACAATATTCCTAAATCATATCTGCCAGCCTATCCGATTTTTTCCAATAAATGCAAAATATATGTTTACAAAATCTGAAATATCAAAAATAAATCGTTCCGATTAATGGGCAGTCTCGACTTCCGTCTAATTATATACATTTTTAATATTTAAATTATTTCGAGTTTAATGCGTTAATTTGTTTTTTTAGGAACTTCCGGACATAAAAAGCTGTTTCTAAAAAATTTCGATAGTAAATTAGTTTGTCTGGCCGCATCTTTTTTTTCTTCTAGCATTTTTGGCATCCTGTCCGAGTTTTCCAATAAATAGAAAATCTATGTTTCACAAATTTTACAATAGGAAAATCCATCTAGCCGGATACTGCGTGGCCAGATCATTGTACGAAATAATTTGTATTATTCATATTTTTATTTTGAGTTTTTGACGCTTTTTATAGTTTTTAGCAGCCGCTAGACAAAAAATTGTTTTTAGAAGGACTTAAACAGCAAATTAGTTTGTCTCTGCATCTTTTTTTTCTTCTAGCATTTTTGGAATCCTGGCCGATTTTTCCAATAAATAAAAAAAATCTATGTTTTACAAAATCTAATCTGTAAAAATAAATCGATCCGGTTAATGGGCAGTAGGAGAGTAGGCGAAATTATTTTATTTTTAACCAGGGTTGAAAAGCCGCTTCGCGACTTTTCAACCCTGGCCCCGTCCAACCCCATCAGATTCTTCTCTCTGCATACGTCTTTCGATTTCCGATGAGAAAAATGAAAAATTCCACTCTCTCGGGTTATATATAGACCGTCGCAACTTCCGGCGTATGCTAATTATTTCCTAACAAAGAAGGCTGCTCGATTTTTCAACAAAAACTTAAATTTAATGCCGAAAACAGCTGAATTTGTAAAAACTGATATTGGTGCAGTCATCTCAAGACCGTTACGCAACTAATGACGTATCAAACATACTCTAAAAACCTTCCCTTTCCGAGATCTCCTCTGGACAGAATGACGGAAGTTGCATGCAAAGTGGCACGGACACACACACAGACACTATTTTTTTATATATAGTAGGATATTTAGTTATTTTGCGGTTTTGATGCGTTTCATTTGTTTTTTAGGATCGGCCAGACGAAAAAGTGTATTTTGGATCCTTATTCCGATTGATTCTCAAATTTAAAATTAAATACAGCCGAAAAGGCTTTCAAAGAGCAGTTTAACAAAAATTTTTGAAAATATCTGTTTCAGAAAAATTAAAATTCCGGCGCGCTTTTATTGATTCAATCATAAGGAAAGTGCAATGGCTGAATAAATTTTCGCATTAATTTTGCTAATTGAAAATTATTAAATTTTGGAATTTATGCACAAAATACATTAATCTCGTGCCTAACTTTCGTAAAATGTTTAATGCTTCGACAAATGCTTATAAAAGTTCGATGCGTTAATTTTACTTCCGTGTAAAAGCGTTATTTTTCAAGATATTCTCAAAGAAACCCTGCTTGCCCCTTTTTCCGAAAATTGTTTTGTCAAGTTTTAAAAAAGTGTTACATAAACTGATCAACATAAAAAGTTTAAAGAGTGTTTAGTCCGCTTCACACACCGTCTGAAAATCATGATCTGATATTTTTAAATTTGTCTTAAATTTGAACCAGCTTTACTAGATTTTTCTAACTGATTCAATTCTTTCAGATACTCATCGAAATTAAAAACCTGTGTTTGATCAAATGAAAAAAATTGCGAAGATCTAATAAATCAGCCAAGAACTCACCCAGAAATTAATGAATTTTGAAACGGATTTAAATACAAATTTTAATAATAATAATAGTTTAATTTGATCAAATAAAAAAAGATGATAAAATTCAAAAACCGTATCCTTTTGACCGCATTCAACGTTAAACAATGTGTTTCATACAATCCTAAAAACAAAAATTCATAAGGGATTTAGTAACATAAAAATTACATATTTTATTTTGGAAAAGTTTAAATATGATTTTAATTTTGTAATTCTCTTAACAAAAATAATGATTATAACCACTATATTTTCAGACCGACGAAAAGCAGCGGGTTTTCGAGTCGGCACTCCGACTCGTCGATGTACCGGGTCAATGGCAGCGGGGCGTTGTGCTCGAATTCGCTGAGAGGTTTGTAAATGTTTTACTTCAATTGAATTTTAAACATTTAAAAATTAAATTATAAGGTTTTAATTGTCGTTGAAACCAAATTATATGCATTAATTCCCGGCTTTATCGCATTTAGTTTGAAACATGAAATTTTAAAACAAAAAAGTTCTAACTACAGGGTGCGTCAAAAAAAAAGAGTGAAGTTTGCACCAAAATATCTCGCTTATAGTAGAGAATCGAAGGTACGTTACCATGCCAGAATGCTTAAATATGCTGGGTATGAAGATTTAACACAACTTGATTTTTTCGATTTTTGAGTACGCAACTGTACTATTGACGCTGATTACGACCGAAAATTGTGCGTTCTTGTGTACATGATAGATGGATGCCAGTCCTACACAACCAAGCAAAGAAAACACCGAGGTTCTATTCGGAACTTTAGGAATATTTTTTGAAAGTTCGGTTTCGTGACCTCGAAAGAATCCATGACCAGAGGGTCGTCGAAAAACTCAAAAATCCGCGGATCCGAAAATTTTTTTTGATATTTTTGCGGGATTGTATCGGGCCCATAGACATGCGAAAACAGCTTATGTTGAGGTTTCCACCATAGGTTTTTGTAATATTCGAAATTTACGAAATTTCTCCATATTAAATTTGAGCACGCCATAACTTGCCAACCAGACCTTCGAAAATTCTAAAATTCCGGATGTGCGTAGGAGCAGTCCTTAGGTACCTACACTGTAAAAATTGAAAGTGTTCGACCACCAGCAATCCTGAAAAATGGAAACGAAGTTTTGCCGGAACGCACAGTTTTCGGGTGTCATTTGTATGGGTACGTCGCCAAAAATCGAAAAAATCAACTTGTGTTAAATCTTCATACCCAGCATATTTAAGCATTCTGGCATGGTAACGTACCTTCGATTCTCTACTATAAGCGAGATATTTTGGTGCAAACTTCACTCTTTTTTTTTGACGCACCCTGTATTATTTTTATTTTTAAATCGATTTTTGTCTGCGCGTTTTACATATTTAGAATATATTGATCTATATCTAGAAACCCCCAAAATAATGGAAAAACGCGATTTTATATAAAATGTCGGAATTTTGACTACGGGTAAGCCTGCATTAAAAGTAGCCGACTGATATTTCATGGTATTTACAAATGTTTGAAACACATTTTTTCGCAATTTTTGGTAAAATGTTCTGAATATTTTTTAAAAAGTAAGTATATATAAAAAAAGTAAAAGAAAGTAAAGTAAAAAGAAGAAAAGCAAGAGCAAATTTTGTCCTGAAATGGCAACGTGAATTGGCGTACCGTGACGACGGAAATAATTGTGTATTTTTGAAACAACAAATTCCCAGAAAAATCGCTTTCCTAGCCGAGATCGCTATTTAGTGGCATTATTCTTTTTTTTTTGTTTTATTCAGGCAAAACGACCAAAGAATATAAGAAAACCTGAATAGATTTTTGGAATTTCGGTTGGCCTTGCATTAAATAACGAATCTATCATCCGACATTTGTAAATTTTTGAAACATAGAATTAGATCGAAATTCTGTGGTTTGCCGGTATGATAAAACAGCTATTTCTTAAATTTAAGGTAATGTTAATAAGAGTTTAATATCGGAAAGTATTTTAATTTACCAAGTTCGTAACTGTTTTGGTCCCGCGCGATCCGGGTTTAAAGATTTTTGAAACATACAATTTTGTAGAAAAACAAAAAGTATTGGTTCTTGCCATAACCATGTTTTACAATTTTTCGATTGGTCTTGATGGTTTTTGTTTTTAAATCTATTTCCTAAAAGATTATTGCCAAATTTACGAGGTTTAGCTGTTTTATTACCAGTTTCCGCTGCCAGAGGATTGCGGCAGCATGAAAATGGAAATATTTGTGGATTTTTGAAACATTAAATTCTCAGGAAATTCAAATTTTGGAAAGCCAGAATCGCTAATCCGAGTGAATAGTTCTTCTGTTATTTTAATAAGAACAAAACGATGAAGGAAATAATAACAAAATCGTATTGATTTTGTGGAAATCTGGACGAAGTATTAAACGACAGATTAAACCACTTTCGAAATTTGCAAGTTCTCGGATCATACAATTAAATTTCTCGAAATTCTGTGATTCGGCAAACCTATAAAGCAGCTATTTCTTCATTTTATACTACCTTTAATTAGCCTCTAACCCCCGAAAGTAATTTTAATTCACCAGTTTCATAGCTATTTTGAGGGCGCGATCGGTATTTAAAAATTTTTGAAACATAGGCAAAAAACCGGCTGTATATGAGATCATGTGATGGCGACACAACGTTTTTTATGCCTTGATGTGTTTTTTTTTAATTGATTTCCAAAGATACTTCCCCAATTACAAAGCTTGGCTTTTTTATTTTATGTCGTGATACATCTCGGGGACATTCCAGTAGTGCGACAACGGAAATATTTCCGGATTTTTGAAACACTAAATTTCGGAAAACCCGGTTTTTTCAAGCAAACCCGATATTTGGTGTCATTATTCCGCGGTTCTGCTTAAATCTGAGCAAAAATGAAAAATAAACATTAAGAAACATTGTGCCGTACAAATTTGCGGGTGCATCAAGTCTCGAGCGCTGGCCTTTAACAAACAAAAATATAACGTGCGATAATTGTAGATTTTTGAAACGTTGAATTTTAAAAGTCTCAAAATTCTGTGGGTTTGACAGGCTTATAGAGCAGCTATTTCTGAATTTTATAATGCCTTTAATTATCCTCTAAGCCCCGAAAGAAATTTTAATTCACCAAGTTTGGCAACTGGTTTTATCCCGCCCGGTCGGTATTTAGAGATTTTTGAAACATCAAATTCCGAGGAAACTAATGGACTTCATATTTTGGAATGGCTAAATCAACGTTTTTCAATTTTTTCATGTTGTTTACTAGTCTAAATCAAATGCTTTTGTTTGGCAAAAACCCAGATCGCAGGTTCAACTCAATTTAATTTCAGTCCTGCCTTTTCACCGATTACGTACGCATGACTACGAAAATACTTGTAGATTTTCCCAACATTATATTCGGGAAAATCACTTTCTCAACCATAAAGTTTCTAAAAACAGGATGTAATTATGAAATGGCGCAATGAACAATTTTTGTATTTTTTTTTTGATGGTTTTATTGTGTTTTTGAAATACTTTCTCAAATTGACGAGGTTTAGCTGCTAATTCTACACCGTCATCCATGTTTCCATGATTTTAATGGGATGAAAAATGACAAAAAATTGATAAGAAAAACTGTATATTTGTTGGAAACATCGCTAGACGCAAATGATTAACACAACATTCAACTTGGGCTATTTATAGATTTTTGAAACATGTGTTTTAAAACTTCAATTTAATTTTCTAAACATGTAATTCTTCAAACACTTCCATTAAAATTATGTAATTTTACAAAGCGGATAATTCTTGACTCTTACATAATGTTAATGGACCTTTCCCGTATGAAAATAAATGCATTTTGGAGTTTTTTCTCATGTTTCTTGAATAGAGTTTTTGAAACATGGCTCCAAATTCAACCGGATATCCGGCGGCAATGAACACTCGCACAATATTTTTCTCTAACCGGGGATAAACCAATTTTGCGGTATTTAAAGATTTTTGAAACGTGGCCTTTTTTAATTCATGCTGTTTCAAAAGCAAGAAAAGCCGCAAAATGATGCCAAAAAGATTTTGGGATATTTGTAATTTTTTGCAACATAAATTTTCAATGTTTCAAAATTTTATGAATTCTCGGAATTGTATGAAATGCCGGTTTTATAGGTTGATTCGATATCAAAAATTCAAAAATAAAAACGGTTTTTTCAGGCACGCCCCCGCACAACTCGTCGGATTCGGATTCGCCGCCAATTCGCGGGCCCACCCCCTCATTTCTGCCGCCATTCCCGAATTCCCTGAAAAATTTGAATAATATTAACAACAACAATTGCCCGATCACCACCGAGGCCTGGCACATCTTCGCTACGTTTGTCGCCAATCAGGTTCGTGTTTTTATTGGATTTTAAAGGAACTCGAAAGTCAAGATTATCCATAGATTTGAATAAGCTCAATTTTTACGTTATTTTCGGGACTTTTTCTATTTTTTTTTCTTATTTCAAGGCGCCATTTGATAGATCATCAAAAAATTTATCACAGTTTTGAATTTCAACCCAAAATAACGTAAAATAGAAAAGTTATAGCAAAAAAACAAAAACAACAATTGCAGATTTGTGTTGTAAAGCACTTTTTCGATATTTTTGCGTTCTTTTAAGGATTTTTTGATGTTATTCGATAGAGAATCAAAAAATATACTGCCCGTTTTAATTTCAGCCCAAAATATCGTAAAATAAAAAAGTTATAGCAAAAACGGCTAACGGTTTTTCCGCTATACTCAACGATTAATGCAAAAACTCTACAAAACCGATTTAAAAGCATTGATGTTTAAGTTAACGACACCTATTTAAGTTGCCTATATATAAATATAATTTATTATTCAATTCAGATAATTCACAAAAATTCAAAATTGTCCTTATCAATTTTATCTAATTCAATTTAAAAAATACATATCGATAAAAATATTTAATTTTAATAATTACAAAAATACAAAGTCTGGTTGCGATTTTATCTTATGAGCTAAAAATACATTTAATTTTACCAAAAAAAATAATTTGCTATTTCCAGGTGAAGCTGGGCTACGAGCTGGAGAAGGTGCTACAGTACGAGATGGCCAAATTGGGCTTATCCACGCAACATACCGTATCCCCCGGCACCCCCGACCCCTTCAACAAACATCATATTGACGTCGAATTTTTCTGAATTTACCGAATAAATTTTTGGTTTGAATCTATCTGATTATGCCATGAAAATCATCGCTAATCGTCATCATCGGCTCATCCTGATTGCGGACCAAAATTTTTTTTTGGTTTTGAAATTTTATGAAACATTTTTTCGAGACTTCCAAAATTCTGGGCTCGTACCAAAAGGATAATTTTTGCCTGATGGGTACCCATAAGGAGTACCTATACAAATTGTATGCGTACCCCTAAAAATTCCATTTTCACAAAACTTTTTCAAGGGGTCATACTTCTCAAAAACTTTGAAGGCCTTTAGAAATTCGGCGTTAAGACCTATCAATAAGATTTTTTCTGTTTTGGATTCCCCGCGGCCGGAAGTAGATGGTCTATAGAAGCTACGCTGGAAAAAATGGCCCAAGGGAGCCGAAAAAGCCCTTGGAAGATTGTATGGGTACCCTTACAAATTGAATTAGGGGGTGTTTTCATATTATCTTTGCATGGGTACCCATCAACCGAAATAGTGGACTTCATTAGGTAGACCCGAGACTTAGGAAAAAAAAATCGTTGTGATCGATCGTTAATTGGTCCCATACATTTTTAACAACAACTTCTAGCTCAACGGTTTGCTGTTTGATTGTTGGGCTCATGACGCGAGTTCGATCCCTCGCGCCTATCCCGATAGTTTTGCGGATTTTCATTAAACCGATTTCACGCTTTCACGAAGATCAATTGAATTCAATTGGGGATTTGGTCACCAAAACACTAACATAGTTTTCAAAGTTCCTTCGAATGGCATTATCAAAATTTCCAGCACGACAGCTTGGTTCCGCAAAATGACCGCAACAGTCTGCAAAAATGACTCGGGTGGGGGCTCTAAATGGATGACAATGCTTCCGGTGATCGCGCGCAACACTTACAACAGATTCGAAGGCTCCCGAAAGGTCCGGAAGATACGCTACATGGCGGTTCGGCCTTACAACTGGTCGTTAATGGGTACACATAAAATTTGTAAAGCATCCCATAGAAATTTCATGGGTGGCCATAGAATTTGTATAGGTACCCGTAGTTTTTGTATGGGTACCCATGATGGGGGCCCATATTTTCCGTTTTGGTACCAGCCCCGGTTTGCAACGGATTTGTCTTCCAGGAAATTGTATCAACATATCATCAAAAAATAGTATAAAACATGGTAATTGCAACCAGCTTTGCTTGGAAATTCTCTGAAACGTTTTTTCGAAACTTCCAAAATTTTCCGGAGTATAAAATGATCCGGTTACGACAGAATATCAAAAACAGTGGAGATTGACGAGCAGGCTACTGTATAAATTCTTGTTTTTCACGAGGCGATTACGAGCTGAAAATCATCGCGTCCGACAGCCAGAAGAGCACTGCAGACTGGAACATTTTTATTTTTTAAATTTTATGAAACATTTTTTAAGAAAGCTTCCATCCAGTTCAAAAATAAGAGACAAGAACAGAAAACAGGAGTCCGATATGAATTGCAGCTAAAATAATTTTTTATCTTGGAAGTTTTATGAAACATTTTGCAGGAAACGCGCAAATTTTCGATTTGAACATCGCTAAAAGAAACCACATGATAATTGTAATCGTAAAAAATGCATTGTTTTTGAAAGTTGGCACATTATTTTTGAAAGAATTTTTTGTTCTTGTTCCAAAAAGCATCGCCTGAAGAAGCCCAGATGATACTAATTGTGGTCAGCAAATTTTTTTACTTTTGAAATTTTATGAAACATTTTTCAAAGCTCTTTCGTTTCTACATTTTTCCAATTTTCCGCAATGGTCTCCGCTAGCAGCCCCGAGTGCTTCTTTCCTTTACAAACCCTTCAGGGCCCACTGCATTAGGCGCCTATTGACACGTGAGATCAGTGTAAATAGGAGTGTATTGTAGCGGGGCGTACGGTGAAAGACGACACTCCCCTCCCTCCCCCCTTTTTGTCATTTTTTGTTTTTGGGCGTCTTCGGGCTTCACGGAATTGGATTTTGAGTGGAGAACCACTCAAAATTCTTGACTTTTGCTTAACATTTATTCTTTACAACAATAAAATAAAAATTTATATAATAAATGCAATATATAAATATTTAATAAAAAAATAAGTACAAATATAATAAAATAATAAAATAAAATAAAATAACAAAATTGCTTAACTTTGTTCTTTTTTGTTCTACTTTGTTCTGTTACGGTCAGAGGATTGCGAAAATTCAAGACTTTTCGGTCTGGATTTTTGATGCAACATTTTTTCGCGCACCTTGTTTCGGACACTTGGGTGCCAGAATCACAAAAATAACCCTTCAAAATTCATGCCTATTTTGGCTCAAATTGTCTGAAAATCAACGATAAAAGCCTAAATTGATAAATTCAAAAAAAACCAATTTTTAACATTTTCGTCGCTTTGACTTGGCAAAATATGCCGCGAAAAATCGTGGAATCTGATGATTTCTTGAAACATTTGACTTGTAAAATTACAGAAACCATTTTTATTTAGCCAAATTTCAATAATTTAGACTGGCAAATAGCCTTAAATTCATGGTTAGATTTGCTAAATTGCAATTTTTGGTTCTTTCGCGTTATCGGGGGGGTGGGAATTTTTTTTGTATTAATCTAGAAATGCCGAGAAACGTAATACAAAATATTTCCTATGTTCTTTTTCGTAAAATAAACGATATTTTAATTAGTGAACATTAACTAAAACTCTAAAAAAAGTCAAGATTTATCTAAAAAACGGCCATTTTTGGCCAAAAATCGATGCTTTTTGTATTTTTTAATAAAGTTTTGTAAAGTTTTTCATCTTTATTTTTTTTATTTTATTTTTAAAAGACAGCTTTAAAAAGTTTTAAGTTTAAAAAATTGGTTCCTAAGAAAATTTCTCCCCCCCCCCCGATAATGCGAAAGAACCCAAATATTTTCTTCTGTAGTTTGGTGCAAAGCGGAAGTTTCTCTTTGGCAAGGGATCTGGGCCCTTGAATCCGATCCGGGTATTGTTTGTGTGGGGTGGGGGATGGCACGATGCCGCCCAGCCTCTTTCCCTTTTTTCTGGAGATCCTCGTCGTATTTAAAGGGACATGGAAGGCACCTTCCAGTTTCTGGAATCCCATTTTTGCGGTTTATTTTTATTATTTTCAATTTTAATTTTATTATTTATTTTTAATTATTAAGTATATTTTAATTTTATTTTTGATTCAAAAAGCTCATTTTTATTCCATCGATTCCTAATATATCTTATAAATTTAAATTTGGCAGAGGAAAAATTACCGAAATTACTCAGATTTCCAAGAGCCAATTTTTTAACTTTAGTTTGCAAAATCGTGTTTCAGCAACTTTTAAAAACCAGAAGATTTTAAGTTTTCTAATTTCTCTTTTTCCTGATTCGGATTCAATTATTTTTTCCATTTCTTCCTATATCAACTATGTGAATTGTTGAAGTAACTAAAAAAGCGCTGGCCAAATTTTTGCAATTTTGTGTTTCAGAAAGTTCCAAATTGTTTTCATCGATTAATACGTGCGATTCAACGTAGAATACATCTAATTGAAATGAAATAATGCTAAAATAAAGCGATTTCGAGAAACTTAACTGAATCCAAATTTCCGATTTTTAGATGCGATTATCTTTGTTGCAGGAGGCTGAAGGGGATTAAATACGATAAAATTATCTGTTTTATCTGAATTTCTTTGAATGTAACGGTTTTGACATTATACATTTTCTATCGATCATTCATATAACGTTTTTTACGCTATTTTATTTCCTATAATTACTTCCATTCTATAGCCCTTTTAGGAATTCCGTCCCGCTCCGCCATGCGTCACGTGTTGCGTTGCGGAGTTTTGTGCTGTTGCTTGGCTACCGTATTCTCAAATCCTCTCTTCAGCCTCAGCTGTCTAATTATGGATTTTGCGCCAAAAATCGCCGAATATTTCTGCAATTTTGAGTGCGAGGGGAAGGTCAGAGAGTGAGAGAGTGAGAGAGTGAGAGAGAGAGAGAGTGATAGAGGGAGAGAGACAGGGAGAGCGAGAGAGAGAGAGTGAGATAGAGCGAGAGAGAGAAATATAGAGCAAAAATTTAATCGATTTTTAGGGTCTCCAACACGGCGGTTACTGTAGCAAACAATTCGACAGACCGCAGTGCTTCTGTCATTACAAGCCAAGAACGATGGCCTGGGATGTGGTGCGTTTTAGGCGTATTTTACGGAATTACCGTCGTCTATTTCCGTTTAGCTGCAACACCCCGCCCGAATTCCCGCATCCGGCGCCCCGGTTCAAAATTTCAAGGTAGGAACAACATTCACGGCGCTTTAGCATTATCGGGGGGGGGGGCTTAGGCTTGGCTTAGGCTTGGCTTAGGCTTGGCTTAGGCTTGGCTTAGGCTTGGCTTAGGCTTGGCTTAGGCTTGGCTTAGGCTTGGCTTAGGCTTGGCTTAGGCTTGGCTTAGGCTTGGCTTAGGCTTGGCTTAGGCTTGGCTTAGGCTTGGCTTAGGCTTGGCTTAGGCTTGGCTTAGGCTTGGCTTAGGCTTGGCTTAGGCTTGGCTTAGGCTTGGCTTAGGCTTGGCTTAGGCTTGGCTTAGGCTTGGCTTAGGCTTGGCTTAGGCTTGGCTTAGGCTTGGCTTAGGCTTGGCTTAGGCTTGGCTTAGGCGGGCTTCACTTTAAAGCTGCCCTTCCCCGATAATGCAAACGAACGTAAAACACCTGGGCTTCTGTTCAATTAAAAATCGAAAAAATGTCCCGTTTGTAGCTCCATGAAACTTTCATCAAGAACAAAAAAAGAAAACGAAAATTTGACAGCTTGAAAAATGATGTTTCACCAATTTTTCAGGGATCGAAAAAATTATTTTTTTCAGTTTCTTCCAAGTTGTCAGTAAAATTTAAATTTCATAGGGTGAAAAATTCGCAAAAAACGTTCATCTCAATAAATTGATCTTTTCAGTTAATCGCTCGATTTCAGGCGCCCTTCCGCTGGCCGGCCGCTTCCTTGGAAAAATTTGAAAAATCCGAAATTCCGGGTAAACCGGAAATTCCGGCGATTCCGGAGCAGATCCTGAAGCCAAACTACTTCACCAGGCCGCAGCGAATAGAGGATAAGGTGAGAGGCAGAAAAGACGATCCGGAAGGACCGGAGAAAACGACCGAAACGTACTTGGTGCGGCTAAATAACGACATTCCGATGATGTTACCGTACTCTGCGCGGAGCCGAAAAGTCCAGAATACTATTCCATTACGCGATGAAAATACGCTAGAATGGTGAAGAACAAATAAAGCTTTTAAATACCCACGCTGAAATTGCGCAAAAAAAATTATTAGAAAATTGAAGTTTCATAAAATCATCAATATCGCTGATTTTAATTTGATTGATTGAACTGAAAATGAAAAGTCTATTTCATGGAATAATCGATTCACCTAAATACATTACGCCATTGAACTAGGGTTAAACGGCGTTTCAAAAATAATTTTAAATTCAATGTTTCGGAAAATTTCAAAATGCGAAATTTCGCGGCTTGCATTAGTCGAAAATTCTGTCGAGCAGTTTTATTTTTCCGACAAGTGTTTTTAAATTTGGCATATTCTTAAATAATCTCTGCTCGCTTGCCCATTTTCATAAAATTCACGCGATAGTCCGTTGGGGATTAATTAATTCTGCCATAAGCTAGCGACACAAATTCCCGAAACATATCTTTTTGAAGGTCAGCCGGAAATGTATTTCATGGCGTAATTGAGTCACCTAAATAAATTACGCAATGGAAATAGGGTAAATACAGCCTTTTTGGATGTCGGTTTCCAAGCAATTTCACCAAAAAAAAGGTATTTAAAATGAAATGTTTCGGAAAACCACAAGTCTCCAAATTTTCGGCTGGCGTTAATCCGACCATTACAAGGAGTGGAATTCTCTTTTCCGACAAGTACTTTTAAATTTGAGCGTGATTTCCTAAACAATCCGCTCTTTTAAAAGGATTGGCGTTGAATATTATCGCGTAATCGATTACGCAATGAAAAACGATATCCACCGCACATCCTATCGAGATTGGCCTATTTTGCACCTCCGAAAAGTCACGAATTCTTGAAACATCATTTGAAAATGACGAGCAAGTCAGGCCAGCAAAAAACAACAATTTCATCGCGTAACCGGTTCCTTCAAACGATTACGCTGCCAAAATACGATTTTAAAGGCAGCGCAACAGTTCGGCTGATATTTCATCGCGTAATCGGATCGGGTAAAAACCGGGAAAATTAGATAAAACAATTTATCGATAATAAAAACAGGAAAACAGGAAAACAGCAAAATGCAACAATAAAAATGTATAAAATCTCAACAAAAAAAAACACAAAAAAAAACGTAAAAAATTAAGAACCAAGCGCGTCGTCAAAAAGTGTCTGCTCCGAGCATTCCTCCCTCAATCGTCGGCACGGGTAGCACAGCAGGGTCGGCGAATTCTGAACAACAACGTTTAAACTAAATACTATTAATTAAATTCCTTAACTTTAATTTTAATTAACTTTTAAAGAATTTAAAGAAAAAATCTAAAGAACTATTTTATTTTTTAAAATTTCATACTGAAATAAACTATATTTAATTTAATAGAAATCTATCTTTATTATTAAATAAAATAATGCCTTAATCCCCAAAAAATTAGCATAAAATAAAATTCTTTACCTTATCCTTTTGAGTGGCCGGCGATCCGCAAATTCTACAGTACTCCTGCGCCTTCCCGGAACCGTCCACAATTTTTGCCGTACTCGCCAGCAGGGTAGAGGTTGTCGCCTGGAAATCAGCAATTCATTACGTCGTCCATATAAAAGGAATTAGATTCTTAAAGCGCGTACCGTATACCCCTCTCTCTGCAACATGTCGATAAAATTGGCGGCAACAAGATGGATAGATGCCGGGGGGAGGGGCTCTCGGCTGTCTGGCGTCTCGTATCTCTCGTCATAGCCCTCCAGACGATTCAGCAGCGTCACCTCCTGAAAATAGAAAGAATTAAACTAAGCATAAAAGAAAATGAAAAAATTCCCTAAAAACTAAAAACCTAAAAAATTAAAAATCCCGCAAAAATCACTGCTAGGCTTCCCATTCCGAAAGCTTGCCCTTTCCCAAAGAACCTCTGCTAGCTTGCCATTTTTTTAAGAAATCGGAAAATTCGTCCGAAATGAAAATGGCAATAAAAATTGAGAAACCACTGTAAAACAAAAAAAAACACCATATTTTTCCCGAATTTCCGCGCGCCCTATTTGTTTGCCGAAAAAAAACTCCGAAAACGGTACAAACGGACCGGCAAAATTGAATGTGTTAGAAGTTTTCGATTGAAAATCATCGCGAGTTCTTTTAATGCAAGTCAAAGACGACGATGCGCTTGGGTTAGGCAAAGAATCTTCGCTAGCCTGCCCTCACCTTATCCCCGATGTCGTGCATTGGGCGTAAGAAATTGACGCCCAGGCGGCGTTCGGAGACCGAGATTAGCGACGAGGTGTGCGCGCCTAAACAGAAAAATTAAATTTCTCTGGGCATTTTAAAACCACCTATATAAATTAAATCAAATTCATCTCTCGTTAAAATATTTTAAAATTCAGTTTTTTTTTAATTTTCAACAAATCATCTTTCAAAAAAAGGCGAAAATATAAGGTGTATTAATCAATTTTGAATTGTTTTTGCAAAAATCGATTTAAAGTTTTTGGGAAAAATCATTGAAATTTCGAAAAATTCAAATTTAATACAACCATTAATAGCTTGAATTTAACTCCAGAGTACCTTGGAATAATAGCTCGATTTAAAACTAAATTGAAAACAATTTTCAAGCCGGAAAATAAAATTTTACAAAACAATACAATTTTATCAAAAAAATCATTTTTAATGAATTTTGCAAGCTACCGTACCTTTGCCAAGCGAGAAAAACGAGACGACGTCCTTCGACAGATCGTCGCCGGTCCGGGGCAGCCAGATTTTGTCTTAAAAACCGTGCCGTCAAAAAAATGAAAAACGAAACGGACCAATGCCGGAAGCGACGGCAAATCGAGCGGCCAGCAGCTCCCCGAATAGCCGCGTCATTTCGGAGCGTGCCGTAGTCGATTGCATCGCCGAGAGAAGGCGCTCGTAGATGGCGATCTGCAAAAATTCAAATTGACAATTACATAAAAATAAACCCTCCTAAAAAAGGCAAAATTTCAAGTTTTTAAAAATTAAAAATGTACTTTTAAATTTTGCAGGGCTAATATATTTCATTAATTTTTATCCATTAAAAAATATCAATTTCAGCTTTACTAAAAAAAATCGAAATCATTCTCAAAAAATCTGAATTTTACGCAGTAAAAATCGTCGAAGAATTTAAAAATTTTTAGTGTCACCATTTATCGAAAAGCGTTTTTAAATATCAATTTGTTTAAATAATTCTGTATTAATTTAAATTTAAATAGAAACAATAAAAAAATTTACCCTATAACGTTACAAAATTAAATTCTTTAACATTGTAAAATGCTAGAACTTGAAAAATAAAAATTGTAGGAGAATTTATAATTTTAAATGATTTTTACAAAAAACCGCCTTTTCTTCAAAACTCTTAACAATCAAAATAAAACATTTGAAAATCGAAACATTTTAGTTTTAAATTCGTAAAAAAACCATTTAAAAACTTATTTAAATTTAAAATTTAACAAATTTAAAAATTGACCTGCTCTTTTCCGAGATATTGCTCTCCACTGTCCGCCTCCAACTCGATGTTCTTCTGCAGCCCGGCGGCGAGGTGTGCTATCCGGAATGGGATTCCAATCCCCGGCTCGGCCAGCTTGGCCCCAATTTCCGCATATCGTTGTAGAATTCGGCCGGCACGCTCGGGGTCTGTCGTCTCCAGCGTGAACAGCACCTGAAAAGTCAAATAATCGGAAATTAACTATTTTTTAAATTTATACAAATGTAATATCGATAATTTGAAGAATTGAATCGGATTAACTAAAAACATCATATAAATGAATTTCTCCGGATTTTGAAACCCATTAACTCAAAAAAAAATATCTCTCACAATGTTTCATCTTCCAATTTTATTTAAATTATCGTCCCCAGCGTGAACAGCCCCTGAAAAACTCATTAAAAGATTTCCTTTTACAAACTCTTAAAATTCTGGTAGTTCCTCCTTAATTCCTACATCAAAATCTACAAAAACAAATGAAATATCAAAAATCCTAAACCAGGCCCCCCGATTTTGTAGTCGATTTCACAGGTCGAAGCGTGTCGTCACTAATTCAATACCGGCCAAATCAATAACCTAAATCCACTGAAACATGATTTTTAAGGAAGAAAAGCTGCAAGTTCGCCAAATCAAGTACCGTAGGCTCGATCATCAACTTCCGGTGGTCCGTCTCGCGCTTGGATTCGACGAGCTGGCCGAGGGCCAGAGCGGCCGCCGGCGAGCCGTCAAACACCAGCAGCGTCTCCTTCGAGGCGCCGTCCTGAAAAAGGTACCAAAATAGTTCATTAACTTTAAAAAATCTCTATATATTAGCGCAAACCCCAAATAAAAAAATCCGGTTTAGAAAAAATGCAAAAATAATCGCTTTCAGAAAAAATTATGAAAATTTTTGTTTTTCTCAGTAGCCCTCTGCTTTCCATTTTTCTGAAAAGAGACTGGTAAAACTCGCTAAAAATCTAAAAAACGTTTTGAGGCCGAAAATTTGCTCAAAAAATCGTCAATTTATGGTCGAAAAATCCAAATTTTTCTATTTTTTAACTCAAAATTTGTAAAGTTTCACGTTTAGGAATAGTAAAAATTGCTTAGAAACACGTCCGCCGTTTATACTAGAAAAATACAGAAATGATATACTAGAAAAAAGCTGCCCTCCCCCGATAATGCCAAAGAACCAAGCTCTACCTAGAGAATTTCGAGTGCAATTTCTCCAGAACCCTAGAAATATCTTTCCAATTTTTGTACCTTATAAACCCTGCGTTTCCCGAGCGCCGACCGGAACTTGTGCTTGACCATCTGGACGAAGCATGGCCGGCAGTAGACCGCCTTCCTCGCGTCGATCCCTGGACAAACGGCCCTCGTAATCTTGTTATAACTTTATTATTTTTGACTATTTTCGGCTAAAAATTAGCGTATAGCTAGATCTTCGTCTTTTGCAGCTCCCCTAACATTTTCGGCTCGATCGTACACACTTTAGCGAGCACTTTTTCAAAATTTCGAAAAACGGACCGAAAATTGGCTATAACTTTTTCCTATCACCTTATTTCGAGCCTAAAATTCGCGTAAATCAAGCTATACATCTTTTCAAAGATATCCTGAAAATTTCAGCCCGATCGGAGATACTTTAGCGAGCACTTTCCCAGAAAAAAAAACTAAATTTTTCGATTCTAAAACCAAAATATGCTCAAAATACGCAATTTGAATTAGTTTTCTAGCCTCAAAAAGAAATGCCCAACTTCCCAAACGAATTTTATTTACATTTTAACCTCGAAACGCTTTAAAAAACCTTAAAACCCACCGGAAAGTATCCCCGGGCTGTCGCACTTTACGCATTTTCGGCCGAGCGCTGCGGCGTCGGGGTCCAAGTCGGCCGACGTCATCTGAAAAAAAAATTGGTGCGAAAAATAGATCCAAGACGAATTACATGGAAAGAAATTCACAAAATCAGTTAATTTTGCGAAACATCCATTTTTCGGGACCCAAATTATTTCATCACGCCAGGGAAATCCGGCGTCGATAGGACGGCCGTGTAGCTCTGGGCCGGGCGGGTTTTGGCATGAAAAAGCTCTAAAAATGCTTTATCGTTTTGAAATTCGCTAAATTAACTTTTGAAAAAGGGTCTGTTAGATAGCCGGGATCAAACTGTCTAGGCAAAACGATTTTCGTAGTTTTAGGAAGCAAAGAAACGGGGGATTTTGTGGCCCGAAATCCAATGGCTTTTATTATTTCTTTTTAAGGCTTGTAATACTTTATCTTAGAGTTATTTTTATATGAAAAACGCCTTGTGAGATAGCGGGGATGAAACTGTATAGAAAAATTGGTTTTAGAACTTTTAACAAGCAAGAAAGCGGGCGATTTTCAGGGTCTCACATTCCGCGATTTGTCTAGCTTATCTTCCAAGGGCTGTTAGTTTGTGATTTTAGCTAAATTTTTATAGGTGAAAAGCCGCTATTAGGTGGCCGAGTTGAAATTGTATAGAAAAAAGGCTTTTGGAGTTGTAGAAGGCAAGGAAACACGGGCGGGTTTTTAGCCCTCGGACGTAACGAGTCACGAACGCGTCACACCACATTACACCGCATAATTGGTTGCCCAAACCTAGTTATTTGTGACAAATAATCTTGTAAAGGTTATTCTGACGCTAGAAACAAAAAGATAGTTGTAAAGAAGCAAGTTGTAAAACAGATTTGGACGTGAAAGGGGCATAATCTCGCGCGTTTCGAGTAGATTGACGGTTTTTCTGGTTCATTGCACACCAGTACGAATACGAGAGCCTGTTCTAACACGAAGAAGCTTATTCTATAGTCACCCCCACGTTGTTCTCCATTTTCGCGAGCAATTATCGTTAGCAAACATTGTACACACAATGTTCGCAATGCAAGAATCTTTTGTGAATTACCCAAATATCACAGTATAACTGATCCGTAGGCTAAGACTTAGAAGAGGCTAGATGGGCTGAACTCGAAGGAGCAATGGTAGCGGTAAAAAGCAAAGCAGACAAGCGCTTTACAATGTCCCTATCATCACCAGCGTTTTGCGCATGCTCGCGCGTCACATCATTAGGTTTCATCCTCATCGTTTAAATACTCTCGAAGAAGTTCGGTTGGTTTTGTAGACGGTCAACAAGCAAAGTGCATGGCGTAACACTTACTTATAATGGCAGTCGGCACATGATTGAATCAGTATTGGTATAAGGATTCTTGCTAGTTAGACATGTGTGGTGAACCAGCAAAATCGTCAATCTGATCGAAACACGCAAGAAGATGCCCCTTTCACCTCCATATCTGTTTTACAACTATCTTTCTTTTGTTTCTAGAGTTAGAATAACCTTCACAAGATTATTTGTCACAAATAACTAGGTTTGGGCAATCAATTATGCGGTGTAAAGTGGTGTGACGCGTTCGTGACTCGTTACGTCCGAGGGCTAAAAACCCGCCCGTGGTTTTTTAGGCTAAAATCATAAATTCCAAGATTCTAGACTTAAAAAAGTCGAAACTATCCGATTTTGGAACTCTTAAAAAGCCTAATTTTTGTGAATTTCGTCTTTAGTTATCTATTAGAAGCTTGTCAATCCCAAAAAAGTGTTTCGGAGACAAATAACGATGAAATTCGCAAAATACAACCAATGCCGCCGGTGAATCGTTAAAACAAGCGTTTTACTGAATTTCTACGCTTTTCAAAGCCAGTTGTCTGATACCGCGTTATTCAGGCTACCACGCAGGGCCTTTTTCCTATCAAATAAGTCTAAAATAAAGTGCAATAAGCTTTCAAACTGAACTAATCAAAGACAAGGGATGTGGGGCCTCGAAAATAGCCTGTTAAAAAACCTGGTTTTCTAACTATTTTGGCCATTATGGATGCTTTTTCGCGTTTTTTCCACCAAGTTCTTTGTCTATGAGATTAAAAAACACTTTTTCAGGCCAAAAAAACCGGATGCCCGCATGTTTCTCTCCAGGATATGCCGGCAAGCAGCAGCCAAGCCGTTTTTTAAGGTATATTTTATTTATATTTATATAGTAAAAGTATTTATTGAGGTAACAGTATCCGGGAACGTGAAGGTGACAGCCAAACAATCCGCCATCCCCAACAGCGGCCAAGGAAAAGTCGTGACCCGCAAATTTCGGCAGCACCTCTCCGAGTATCTGAGGAATTTGGCCGATCCCGCGATTGAAAAGGTACATTTTTAACGCAGAAAGCTATCGGTTCTTGCGCAGGACCGGAAATATGCTAGAAAATTATAAATGTAACCGAATTTAACGAACGGAAGCGAATTTAATCAATTTTTCGGATTGATTTTCGGAAAAAGCGCAAAATTTCTAGTTTTAAGAGGCATTTTTGTGGTCTAGTTACTGTATGTGCCTAAATAATAAAAAAACTAAACGCTCCTTTGAAATAGATTTCTATGTATTTGGCGTGTAGAATTATTTAAAGGGATGCCGACGGCATAAGTCAATCAGTTACGCGCTGGAAAGAAAATGTCTCTGCGCCTCTCCCCCGGGCGCACTCTCTGCTCTGTTGGCTACTTGCCAATTTGTTGATGAGGGGGGGATCGACACATGCCGTCGGCAGCCCTTTAAGGGACAACGTCTGTAGTATTTTATCATGCTTTCTAATATAATATTACGATGGCTAAAGCTTGAAAACTTTCTAGAAACTAAAACTTTCTTTTTTTTTGGTTGGCGACAAATTTTTCAAACTATTTTTGAAGTGCTGTGGTTTTAGCAAATCAATAAAAGCCGGATATTGCGAGTTTTCGTTTTTGGATGATTAATAATATTATTGATACGATTTGACGATGGTTTAAATTAGATTAAATTTTAAAATCCGATTTTGCAGGAGCTGCGCCCCCTCCGTCACGACGCCAGGGAGGCGGCCGACGCCGTGTTGAGGCTCAAATCGGAAAAAGCCGCCAAGGACACGCTGGACAAGGCCGTCGACGAGTTGAAGGAGCGCAAACGGAGATTGGAGGAGAAGGTACTAATAAGGTTGCTAATAGCAAGAATTTTATTGTTATTCAGGAGCTGGAGCTGGCCCCGGTGGAGGCGTCATTCGACCGCACAAAACTCGACACCCTCCTCCACGCCTGCCACTTCTATCGGCCGGCTTTCGGCATTTATGGCGCATTTCCGGGCTTGTAAGTCATTTTTTTTTTGATGAATTGAAAAATCTGTTTATTAGGCTGTACCTGGGCAGTAACGGCTCGAAGATGATGGCGAATCTGATCGGGTTGTGGGAGGACCACTTCGTTTTCGAGGAACAAATGCTCCAAATTACCGCACCGCACATCACCCCGCAATGTGTGTTAAGGTATCTTGTTCACTTTATAACTTTTCCAGCTTGAACGAATTTTTGAAATGGGCAGATTAGCATGTATTTTTGCGGAATTTGTAAAATTTACGGTGTTTTTTTAGGGGGCGGCTAGCAGGGATGCTTTGTGGGATTTGCTATTCTCTACGGAAATTTCGTAAAAATCGGCTCATAGAAAAAATACGGTTATTTTTAAAGGGGTAGGCCAGCGGAGGTTCTTGAGGAAATTGGATTGCCTGCGAAAATACGGGATAAAATAGACTAGCAGAGATTCTCGCTGAATTTTCGTCGATGTTCTGTATTTATTTTTTTTTTTTGTTGAGTAGCGTTGGGTAAAAACAGGATGTTTCAAAGATTCTGGACATTCGATTGAGCTGCACTTTGATTAATGGGTCCGCGAACTAACGCTTTGCATTACTGTATTTTTTAAAATAAACCTAAACACAGATTTTTACGATTTTTTAAAAGACGATTTTTATTTTTACAAGAAGTTTTGGCCCCTGAAAACTGCCATGGCCTTGTGAAATGTTTAAAAAAATAGTTTAGTGTTTGTGTTTGTAGTTAGCGATTTTTCCCTGGTTTTGGCAGGCTAGCAGAGATTTTTTGAATTTTTTTTTGTAGCAATTTATGGTCTTTCCGCTGTTTTTCTGGACGGGCAGGCTAGGCGCGATTCTTTGCGGAATTTATCGATCAGCGCGATGTTTCACAAAATCAGGACCATGTTTTCGGTCTGTTGAATTGAGTCCCGCTCCAATTTAGTCGTCAAAATTATCAGGTTTTGGCAGGGCCAACTGGCAAAGATTTACAATTTTATTAAACTTATAGTTGTTTACTTATAGGTCTCCATTTTTTCTGGTTTTGGAGGGCTAGCAGAGATTTTTTGAAATTTTATTAGCAAATTATGGTTTTTGCGTTTTTTTTTCGGTTGGGCAGACTGGCGAAGATTCTTTGCGGAATTTTTTTAGGTTTACAGGGATTTTGGAATGACTGTTGATTTTTTTTAAAATTCGAGTTTCACAATTTCGCCACCAGAAATTGAGGGAAAATCAATTATTGCTTGCGTTTGCGTTCTAGTTGGGTTGCAGTTTCTATCAACGGTGCCGGCAGACTAGCAGGGATCCTTTGCGGAATTTCTATGGATTGTTTTTAGCAATTTTTTTTGCAGGGCTTCCGGCCACGTGGACCGTTTTGCCGATTGGATGGTGCGCGACGTGGAGAATGGGGAATATTTTCGAGCGGACCACTTTGTCAGGGATGCCCTCGGCAAGGTCTGAAATTTTGGAATCATTTTTAACGATTTTTAGGCAAAAATCGACGACGAAACGAAAAGCGCCCTGCTCGGCCGGGTGGGAAATATGGGCCGCGACGAGCTGTGGGAGACCATCCAGAAATACTCGCTGAAGTCGCCGGCCGGGAACGGCGTCTCCCCGCCCGAGCAGGCCAACCAAATGTTCGCCGTTCAGGTCCGTTTCTACGATTTTCATCCAGGCTTTATGGAGAAAATGTTTTGCGTAGAATTTTTTTTATTCTTTGGCATTATCGTGGGGGGGGGTCCTAGGATCCAAATTTTCAAAATAAATAGTGGAAGTATTTTTACGCACATTGCTATTGAAAAAGCAAAAATAAGGATTTTCTTTTTGACCTAAATTGACCTTTTTCAACCGACATTTCGACCTTTTTGTAGACTTTTGAATGGTGTGGCTAGTTGAAGTATTATTTTATATTTTACCTAAAAACGTTATGAAAAATACGTCCCATGAAATTACTAGGCATTTCTCGAATTGTAGAAAAAAAGGTTTGTTTCTTTTTTCAATTTTTGCATATTTTTCGCTGGTATTTATACTATCCTATATCTGGCGATACTATTGGATTTTATTTTAATTAATTAATTTATTAATTAATTTTAATTTTAATTTTAAGTATAAATTTAAAAATGTGCGGCTATCTTAATCAGCCTTCCATTCGGCTTTTATTAGTTTCTATTTTTAATGTTATTTTTGTTTAGAGCGGCTTCTCCGGCGAGACGTCATTCCTTCGCCCCGAGACCGCGCAGGGGATATTCGTCGAATTCAACGATTTTTTGCACGCGAATAAGGTGAATTTTTCGAGAGCTCGTACAGCGAGAGATTATGTTATCGTCCTCTCGGGGATGGTGGCAAATTTGTGAAACATTTTTGGCGAATTCCAAAAATCATCAAAACAGTTTTTTTTTGGAAAAAAAACCATTTTTTACGATTCCTAAGAAAATCGATAAAACAATGAAAAAATCCATTTTTAGCCAAAAATGGTCGACTTTCGATTCAAATTTTTTTCAAGTTTTTTTTTGATTGTTTTCAGCTAGGCCGCCATAGGGTTTGAAACGTAAGAGGCGAGCTAGCAGAGAGAACTTGAGGAAGGGGGACGGGTAGAAGAGAAATTTGTGGAATCCTTCGGTTTTCCTAAATGATCTCTGCTAGCCCGCACTAGGGTTTGAGACGTAAAAAAAGAATTGCAAAGGAATTTTGAGGAATCCTCCTTCACAAGCCTTCACAAATGCTCTCTGCTAGCCTGCCCTAGGGTTGAGCCGAAAAATAGCGTCTAGCAGAGATCCTTTAGGGAATGAAGGGCAAGCTGGCAGAGCAAATTTGAGGGATCTTCCGCTCTTCCGAATGCCCTCGGCTAGCCTGCCCTAGTGTTTGAAACGAGCAGCAGAGCAGAAAAAATTTGAGCAATCCTCCGGTTCTTTTCCTAAATGATCTCTGCTAGCCTGCACTAGGGTTTGAGACGTAAAAAACAAGCTTGCAAAGGAAGCTTGCCTTCGGTTTTCCTAAAGCATCTCTGCTAGCCTGCCCTGGGTTTGAGAGGTTAAAAAGAAACTTGCAGGAATCAGCTAAGAATTCAAGGCAAGCTAGCAGAGGAAATTTCCGGGATCCTCCGGTTTTCCGAAATGCTCTCTGCTAGCCTGCCCTCGACCATTTTTTTTTGATAGATTTTTAAGTTTTCTCCAATTTTAACAATTTTTAAATTGCTTGTTTTTGCAGGGAAAAATGCCGTTTGCGATCGCGCAAACGGGAACGTCCTTCCGAAATGAGGTGAACCCGAAACACGGCCTAATCAGGACCCGCGAGTTCCAAATGTGCGAAATTGAGCATTTCCACGATCCGCTGGACACGAGCCACCCCCGATTTGCCGAGGTCATTTCATTAATTTTTCGGGAAATTTAATCAATTTATTTTTTTTTTGAAAAGGGTTTCTCGTATTGAGAAGATATTTCGAAGTTTTCGCTTTTATTTTCCCTATTTATTTTTTTAAATAAGCTATTTTTTCAGGTGCGAGACTCCCTGCTCAACCTCTACACCGATGAAGCCCAGCAAATCGGAGCGGCGCCGCAATTGATTCGATTAGGAGATGCCGTCGCAAAGGTAATTATAAATATTTTCAAAATAATTTTTTTATCGTTTAAAATTTATTAAAGTTTAATTAAGTTTTTAAGTCTACTTTATTTATTGATATTTTTTCAGTAATCAGTTGCCAATTTTGGTTGGCAAAAAAATTACGGTAATTTAGATTTGAAGAAACTTCTAGAATTTCTTTTCGGTTTTTAAAAGGCTTCGAAAAATGGTTTTTTTAATTAAAAATTTTAAGATTTCTTAAACGATTCAATTTTCTGAATTTACAGTTCTAAAGAGTGTTTTTTTTAAGTGTTAAAAATGTCATTTTCAGGGCCACATCTCGAGCGAGACGATCGGCTACTACCTGGCGCGCACCAATGACTATCTGCAAAAGGTGGGGGATTTTGCTAAAAATTAAAAATTGACAGCTTTTTCTGTCTTCACAGGTCCTTTAAAAACGTTCAATTCTTTAAAATTTCGCCGAGATGTTCTCCATTTTAAACTATATTCTAAATTTCTACGTTTGCTACGTTAAAGGCCCATTGAAGGGAGAAAATCCCGTCTGTTTCTGCCTTCGATGCTCCTTTAAAGTGGTGCAATTCTTCTTTAGATTGGCATCGACCCACAGCGGCTCCGCTTCCGCCAGCATCAACGCAACGAAATGGCCCACTACGCCAAGGTACGCAGAAGATTGGGGCAAACTAGCAGAGAATTTTGGGGAATTTTTCAGAGCAACTTTTTCTTGCTTTTTGACGACGCCCTGCTTGGTCAGGCTAGCAGCAATTCTTTTGCAAAATAGCTCGGCAAGCTAGCCGAGAAAATTTCGGAAAATCGGGATATCTCTCGGCGGGCTAGCAGAGAATTTTGGGGAACATCTAGGGCACTCTAGCAGCGACAATTTGCGGGTGTTTTCCAGGAATGCTGGGACGCAGAGGTGTTCACGAGCTATGGCTGGATCGAGTGCGCCGGGATCGCCGATAGGGGCACCTACGATTTGGGCCAGCACTCCGAGGTGAGGGAAATTGGATTTTAAGCTTTTTTTATTCAAGTCATGTTTAAACTGAATTTAATTAGCCAAAATGTGACTTTTTCGATTTTTCAAAGCATATGCTTCAAATTTTGTGGCTTTTCGCTTGAAATTGATCAATTTTAATTCTTTGTCGACGTTGCGACAAATCGAGCTTTGCGCATGCAAAAATGCTCGTTTTAATTAAATAATTTTAAAAATTGATTTTGTTGACTAAAAATTCCTTTTTATTGATTAAGTTTGATTTTAACGAGTTTACAATTTTTTTTCTTTTCAGGCAACCAACGTGCCGTTAAAAGCCGAGCGCCGCGATCCGATTACGGTATGAAATTCTGAATGTCTCCCTCGCTGTCTCTCTCTCTCACTTTCTCTCTCTCTCGCCCTCTCCCGCTCTCTCTCTCCCCCCGCACTCTCTCTCTCTCTCTCTCTCTCTCTCTCTCTTTCTGTCTGTCTCGCCCTCTCTCGCCCTCTCTCTCTCTTTCTCTTCAATCGATTAATTAATTTAATTTAATGTTTTCCAGGGCACGACTACAAGCTACACCCCGGCCGTCATCGAGCCGTCATTTGGAATGGGGCGGATTATGTACGCGCTTCTCGAACATTCATTCCGCCAACGAGCGGGCGACGAGTTGAGAATGGTGCGCGTCTTCCCCTTTTTCTGAATGTATTTTTTCCAGTTTCTGTGCCTACACCCCGAGGTGGCCCCCATAAAATGCGCCGTTCTACCGCTGGCCTCAAATTCTGAAGAATTGGCCAAGGCCACGACTACCGTATGCCGATCGCTGCATCGGGCGCGGATACCGTATACTTTGGTCAGTTTAAGTAATTTACGATCAGCGAATTTTCCCATATTCCTCAAAAAATCTCTGCAAGTTTGCCTCTTTTCGAAAAAAGCGCCTATGCTACGCCCTGCCGGGCTCCAGCTCGACGAGAATCCACAAAAACCCATGCTAGCCGGCCTCCGTTTAAAATGGTTTATGCATTAAATTTTTTTATTTATTATTATTATATTATATTATTTTATTTATTATTTATTTATTAAAATAAATCTGTTATTCACTAGGCTAAGTTGTCAGTCCCTTTAAAAGTAGTTTTTACTTTTTAGGGGTTTCCGCCTTTCGTTTCAGGGCATTTTTTCAATTTTTGAAATTCGTCAATTCATGAAATTTTACCTTTTAAAATTTAAGTTTTCTACTTTTTAATGAAGTTTTATTTTTTTCAGGACGACTCGAACGGCTCGATCGGGAAGCGGTACGCGCGCACCGATCGCCCCGGGACCCCGTTTGCGATTACGGTAGACTACGAGACACTCCAGCGGCCGCAAACTGTCACCGTACGCCTCGCGTTGAGCCAGCAGCAGGCCAGGGTTAAGGTGATTTTTTTTTTAGTAGTAGTTGATCTTTTCCGCAAAAATCGATGCTAGCTTGCCGCAGTTTCGGCTACGGCAGACTAGCAGAGATCATTTGGGATCAGATATTTAATTTATTGAATTTTTGCAGCTCGATGCCCTCCCCGCCGTAATCCGGGGTCTCATCGACGGGTCGCTGTCGCTTGAAAAAGCCGGAAAAATCTTGGATTGATTTTTTTATAATTCTTTTTGGTTTTATTGTTGCTGCTTTTCCATTGCTCTCCTTTTCTCTACGGGTTTTATTATAGCTAACGTTTTAGAACATTTACTGATTTCACAGATTACTAGGTTTCTTTCGTATCGCTGCGGACACTTCGTACAATAAAATTTATTCATCAGAGGGGGACCCTGGATTCACGGGACAGCGCTGGCAGACGCGTGGCGTGCTTACCTGGATTAGATTGGACCGCCCAGTCGGCAGATAAACCCGATTACGATTACGGTAGACTACGAGAAACTCCAGCGGCCGCACACTGTCACCGTACGCCTCGCGTTGAGCCAGCGGCAGGCCAGGGTTAAGGTAATTTGAATTTTTTGTTTTGTTTTTTGGGCAGGCTCGCAGAGATCATTTGGGATTTAAATTAGCAGAGATGTAATTGACTGACCCGCTCTTTCCGGCTTTGGGGGCGTTTACCCTGGACGAGGGCCGGTCCGGCCCGTCCCGGCCCGCGTCCAGGCCTGGGCATGGCTAGCCACCGGGACAAGGGGGGCCTAGATGGCTTCCCAATCACGATTCACGATTCACGATAGCGCAGTCGGTAGCGCGGTTGTCTTTGAAACTTTTGGACTTCGCTGGGAGGTTCGATTCTTCCACGTGTAATTTCTTTTGCGTTTTGAATTTTTATAGCGGTGAATCGGTGAATTAGAGGTTTTCGGTGTGAGTTAGGGGTTTTCGGTGCGACTTAGGGGTTTTCGGTGCGACTTAGGGGTTTTCGGTGCGAGTTAGAGGTTTTCGGTGCGAGTTTGGGGTTTTCGGTGCGACTTAGGGGTTTTCGGTGCGACTTAGGGTTTTTCGGTGCGAGTTAGAGGTTTTCGGTGCGAGTTTGGGGTTTTCGGTGCGACTTAGGGGTTTTCGGTGCGACTTAGGGGTTTTCGGTGCGAGTTAGAGGTTTTCGGTGCGAGTTTGGGGTTTTCGGTGCGACTTAGGGGTTTTCGGTGCGACTTAGGGGGTTTTCGGTGCGAGTTAGAGGTTTTCGGTGCGAGTTTGGGGTTTTCGGTGCGACTTAGGGGTTTTCGGTGCGAGTTAGAGGTTTTCGGTGCGAGTTTGGGGTTTTCGGTGCGACTTAGGGGTTTTCGGTGCGACTTAGGGGTTTTCGGTGCGAGTTAGAGGTTTTCGGTGCGAGTTTGGGGTTTTCGGTGCGACTTAGGGGTTTTCGGTGCGACTTAGGGGTTTTCGGTGCGAGTTAGAGGTTTTCGGTGCGAGTTTGGGGTTTTCGGTGCGACTTAGGGGTTTTCGGTGCGACTTAGGGGTTTTCGGTGCGAGTTAGAGGTTTTCGGTGCGAGTTTGGGGTTTTCGGTGCGACTTAGGGGTTTTCGGTGCGAGTTAGAGGTTTTCGGTGCGAGTTTGGGGTTTTCGGTGCGACTTAGGGGTTTTCGGTGCGACTTAGGGTTTTCGGTGCGACTTAGGGGTTTTCGGTGCGACTTAGGGGTTTTCGGTGCGACTTAGGGGTTTTCGGTGCGAGTTAGAGGTTTTCGGTGCGAGTTTGGGGTTTTCGGTGCGAGTTTGGGGTTTTCGGTGCGACTTAGGGGTTTTCGGTGCGACTTAGGGGTTTTCGGTGCGACTTAGGGGTTTTCGGTGTGAGTTAGGGGTTTTCGGTGCGACTTAGGGGTTTTCGGTGCGACTTAGGGGTTTTCGGTGCGAGTTAGAGGTTTTCGGTGCGAGTTAGAGGTTTTCGGTGCGAGTTTGGGGTTTTCGGTGCGACTTAGGGGTTTTCGGTGCGAGTTTGGGGTTTTCGGTGCGACTTAGGGGTTTTCGGTGCGAGTTTGGGGTTTTCGGTGCGACTTAGGGGTTTTCGGTGCGACTTAGGGGTTTTCGGTGCGACTTAGGGGTTTTCGGTGCGACTTAGGGGTTTTCGGTGCGAGTTTGGGGTTTTCGGTGCGACTTAGGGGTTTTCGGTGCGACTTAGGGTTTTCGGTGCGAGTTTGGGGTTTTCGGTGCGACTTAGGGTTTTCGGTGCGACTTAGGGGTTTTCGGTGCGACTTAGGGGTTTTCGGTGCGACTTAGGGGTTTTCGGTGCGACTTAGGGGTTTTCGGTGCGACTTAGGGTTTTCGGTGCGACTTAGGGTTTTCGGTGCGACTTAGGGGTTTTCGGTGCGAGTTTGGGGTTTTCGGTGCGACTTAGGGGTTTTCGGTGCGACTTAGGGTTTTCGGTGCGAGTTTGGGGTTTTCGGTGCGACTTAGGGTTTTCGGTGCGACTTAGGGGTTTTCGGTGCGAGTTTGGGGTTTTCGGTGCGACTTAGGGGTTTTCGGTGCGACTTAGGGGTTTTCGGTGCGAGTTTGGGGTTTTCGGTGCGACTTAGGGTTTTCGGTGCGACTTAGGGGTTTTCGGTGCGAGTTTGGGGTTTTCGGTGCGACTTAGGGTTTTCGGGGACTTAGGGGTTTTCGGTGCGACTTAGGGGTTTTCGGTGCGACTTAGGGTTTTCGGTGCGACTTAGGGGTTTTCGGTGCGAGTTTGGGGTTTTCGGTGCGACTTAGGGGTTTTCGGTGCGACTTAGGGTTTTCGGTGCGAGTTTGGGGTTTTCGGTGCGACTTAGGGGTTTTCGGTGCGACTTAGGGGTTTTCGGTGCGACTTAGGGGTTTTCGGTGCGAGTTTGGGGTTTTCGGTGCGACTTAGGGGTTTTCGGTGCGACTTAGGGGTTTTCGGTGCGAGTTTGGGGTTTTCGGTGCGACTTAGGGGTTTTCGGTGCGACTTAGGGTTTTCGGTGCGACTTAGGGTTTTCGGTGCGAGTTTGGGGTTTTCGGTGACTTAGGGGTTTTCGGTGCGAGTTTGGGGTTTTCGGTGCGACAGGGTTTTCGGTGCGACTTAGGGGTTTTCGGTGCGACTTAGGGGTTTTCGGTGCGAGTTTGGGGTTTTCGGTGCGACTTAGGGGTTTTCGGTGCGACTTAGGGGTTTTCGGTGCGAGTTTGGGGTTTTCGGTGCGACTTAGGGGTTTTCGGTGCGACTTAGGGTTTTCGGTGCGACTTAGGGGTTTTCGGTGCGACTTAGGGGTTTTCGGTGCGACTTAGGGTTTTCGGTGCGAGTTTGGGGTTTTCGGTGCGACTTAGGGTTTTCGGTGCGACTTAGGGTTTTCGGTGCGACTTAGGGGTTTTCGGTGCGACTTAGGGTTTTCGGTGCGACTTAGGGTTTTCGGTGCGATTTGGGGTTTTCGGTGCGACTTAGGGTTTTCGGTGCGACTTAGGGTTTTCGGTGCGAGTTTGGGGTTTTCGGTGCGACTTAGGGTTTTCGGTGCGACTTAGGGGTTTTCGGTGCGACTTAGGGTTTTCGGTGCGACTTAGGGTTTTCGGTGCGACTTAGGGTTTTCGGTGCGAGTTTGGGGTTTTCGGTGCGACTTAGGGTTTTTCGGTGCGACTTAGGGTTTTCGGTGCGACTTAGGGGTTTTCGGTGCGACTTGGGGTTTTCGGTGCGACTTAGGGGTTTTCGGTGCGAGTTTGGGGTTTCGGTGCGACTTAGGGTTTTCCGGTGCGACTTAGGGGTTTTCGGTGCGACTTAGGGTTTTCGGTGCGACTTAGGGGTTTTCGGTGCGACTTAGGGTTTTCGGTGCGAGTTTGGGGTTTTCGGTGCGACTTAGGGGTTTTCGGTGCGACTTAGGGTTTTCGGTGCGACTTAGGGGTTTTCGGTGCGAGTTTGGGGTTTTCGGTGCGACTTAGGGGTTTTCGGTGCGAGTTTGGGGTTTTCGGTGCGACTTAGGGGTTTTCGGTGCGACTTAGGGGTTTTCGGTGCGACTTAGGGGTTTTCGGTGCGAGTTTGGGGTTTTCGGTGCGACTTAGGGGTTTTCGGTGCGACTTAGGGGTTTTCGGTGCGAGTTTGGGGTTTTCGGTGCGACTTAGGGGTTTTCGGTGCGAGTTTGGGGTTTTCGGTGCGACTTAGGGGTTTTCGGTGCGACTTAGGGGTTTTCGGTGCGAGTTTGGGGTTTTCGGTGCGACTTAGGGGTTTTCGGTGCGACTTAGGGGTTTTCGGTGCGACTTAGGGGTTTTCGGTGCGACTTAGGGGTTTTCGGTGCGACTTAGGGTTTTCGGTGCGACTTAGGGGTTTTCGGTGCGACTTAGGGGTTTTCGGTGCGACTTAGGGGTTTTCGGTGCGACTTAGGGGTTTTCGGTGCGACTTAGGGGTTTTCGGTGCGACTTAGGGGTTTTCGGTGCGACTTAGGGGTTTTCGGTGCGACTTAGGGGTTTTCGGTGCGAGTTTGGGGTTTTCGGTGCGACTTAGGGGTTTTCGGTGCGGCTTAGGGGTTTTCGGTGCGAGTTTGGGGTTTTCGGTGCGACTTAGGGTTTTCGGTGCGACTTAGGGTTTTCGGTGCGACTTAGGGTTTTCGGTGCGACTTAGGGTTTTCGGTGCGACTTAGGGGTTTTCGGTGCGAGTTTGGGGTTTTCGGTGCGACTTAGGGGTTTTCGGTGCGACTTAGGGTTTTCGGTGCGAGTTTGGGGTTTTCGGTGCGACTTAGGGGTTTTCGGTGCGACTTAGGGGTTTTCGGTGCGACTTAGGGGTTTTCGGTGCGACTTAGGGGTTTTTTTGCATAATTTCGGTTCGCTTAGTAGTCTGGAGGTGGTAACGAGGGCGCGGATCCGCTCACGGGTTTGATTTTTTGCTTTTTGGTCGAGGCTTCCTTTTTGCACCCCGACGGTCCACAATCCTTTTTTACGATTTTTTTTACGATTTCCACAATTAACTATACTACAAATTGGTGGCAGTATTTATTGGTTTTTTATTTGCAAGTACGACCAATGTTGATGACCTGGAAAAATACACTGTGTTGCCCTTATGCTTATTGATTGGGACTATGGTTCCGAAAACTTCTGGGAGGAATAAAAATTGAAAAAAAGTTTTGTAGACCTTCGGGGTGCAAAAAGGAAGCTCGCGACCAAAAAGCAAAAAAGAAAAATCGTGAGCGGATCCGAACCCTCGTTACCACCTCCAGACGCCGGCCACTATGCCACTGGGCCACCAGGACACGGTGCTTGGGGTTTGGGGAGGGCCTATGAAGGTTTGGCCCAAAACTTTAAGCCGTTGTAACGTTGTTAAAATAAGGTATCAGCAGCTAAAAGTTACATCAATCGATTGGTCGCGTCGAGCTCTACAAGATGCACATGCTCACATATCTGGGTCTGATGTCTGCCCCAAAACATTCCCTAGTAAGGAGGCGTCTTCTGCGTCCTGCACCCTCTCGGCCAATCTCCCAAAAATAGCTGTAAATCAGCATTCTGTGCATCGGCGTTCTGTGAATCGGAATTATCAGCCTCTGCCTGAAGAGAGATTGGGCAGGCTAGCAGAGATTGTTTGAGGTAATGAGAATACAGCCAGACAAATGGGAATAGCTTTATTCATGAAACTACGTGCGCGTGTGATGTGAAAGGAGTGAACGAGTTAATAAATACGCCGAAGTAGGAGAAGGTGCCCGGAATATTTCTAATTAACATCAGGGAATGCCGAAAAGTGTAAGTGCATCGTGTAGATGGTGGGGAACGGCTATTCGGACTCGCTGGATCGGCTGGCGGACTCGGAGACGGCCGGCACCTCGAACCCCAGGCTCACCCAGTCGTCATTCAAGATGCACAGGATGCAGCGGCCTGCAAAAGGATGCCGGCAAGGGTTTATTATTACCCTACTATACAGGGTGTGCCAATAAAAAAACAGCCCCCCTGCCCTCTAACTCGATGCCGTGTATCGGACCGGACCATTTTTTTCTTTCTAGCTGCAAGAAAAAGGTGTTTTGGATGAGGGATGGGATGCAAATTGAGGGCTTTCACAGACCCTGGACGGGCTAGGTTTCCAAAAAAAAATCCGCGAAGCTATTTTTCAATCCTGGGTGTTTTACTAGTTTTGGGATCGAAATGGAAACTGACGCTTCTCGGTGCATCCGCAAGCCGGACGAGCCTGGGCCCCGCGCAGGACCTGGCTGTAACAAATACCGGTTCTTTCGCATTATCGCGAGGGGGATCAATGAAAAATGGGTGAAGTTATTTTTGGCAAAACTAAATTAGTGTTTAACCAAAATTTGCTGCTCTAAATCTGCTAAATATTGCCTGTTTTCGCCATGACAATCCGATTTTACATTGTTTTGGGCCTAAATCGAACTCTAACTCAACTTAATAATTAAAGGTGTTTTTAATTTTTTAGCCGCCGACCCTTTAACCCCCCAGCCGACCCCCACCTACCGTATCTCGGCTCCCTGCTCATCTACAGGTGCGTAAAGTATACCAAAATGTTCGTCTTGCTCTGGCGAGCATTTTGGTATACTTTACACACCTGTAGATGAACAGGGAGCCGAGATACGGTAGGTGGGTGCCAGCTGGGGGGCGAAAAAATGCCGACATTCCGATTTTCGACATTGTGAAATTTCGACATTTTGATAGCAAATCTAGGGCAACGCATTGATGGCCTCAAAAACACAAATTTTTCGGATTTTCTGGTTGGAGCAGGGGAAAGGGAACTGGCGCGGAACACGAACCTGAACGAGTGGCCGTGTTGTGCGCAGATGGCGGGCCCCCATCGATAACTGACCGGGCGAATTTCGGTCACGCCTTCCGCCTGGCACTTCGCGCAATCTCCTGGCTAAATATGCGCACTGTGAGCAGGAGAGCTGGGCTTAGGCTTAGGCTTCATCTGACGATTTTTGCGATCAAAAGACAAGTCGAAGAACAGCCGAGAGATCCCGTTGAAAGATGCATACCTGATCGTAAAACCGTGGACGACCACCACGTCGAGAACCCGTCACGGCCGCCTTCTGGAAAATCGGAAGGAATCTTATCTTGCTCTCTATCACGACTGATTTCCAAAAACACGGCTACAGCTAGCAGAGATCATTTGGGATGAGAGAGAGGGGGAGGGGACAGGCTAGCAGAGATCATTTGGGATGAGAGAGAGGGGGAGGGGGCAGGCTAGCAGAGATCATTTGGGATGAGAGAGAGGGGGAGGGGGCAGGCTAGCAGAGGTCATTGCAGGGATTCGTCGGCGGCTGGCCGGGCGGCGCGTCCGCCTCGCGCCTCCCTCCGTGGAATTCGTGTTCCCTTGCGGTGCTCGCGCATTATCGGGGGGGAGGCAAGCGATTCGAAAACCCAAAAATGTCGATTTTTCCTCCAAAATTTGGAATTCTTTAAATTTACGAATTAATTTTAGAGTAATACCCCAATTTAACTCTTAACTTAATCATAATGTTTTCGTGGATCAATAAAACTATGTTTGTACCAGAAAAACCCATCGAAAAAGAGATTTTTTGAAAAAGTCAAAATTTTTGTGTAAAAAACGGGTATTTTGGTCAAAAATCGATCTTTTTTTGTGTTTTTTGACACATTTCTGTAAATTACTTGGGTTTGGGAACCGTAAAAAGGGTTTTGAAACACTTCCTTGATTCATAGTAAAAAATTTGGTGCCTAAGATGAAAATCTTCTCTCCGCCCCCCGATAATGGAACAGCAGCGGGGCGGTGTGTGTCGTGTCTCGATCGAGTGTATTCCGGGGTGGGTCGGGTGTCGGGTGATACAATTAACGCGGAACGGATTTATTTAATTCGGCCAGCGAGTATCGTAACACAACGGAACACAACTGGGCAACGGCCGGGGTACACATAATTGTCTCTGGATTCCAAGTAGCAAAAAAAAGCTCTAACGGGGGGCCGGGACGCAAGCGCCACCCATTCGCAGCCGTTCATTTCATTTCTTGGGGGGTTTTTTTTGAGTAGGGATTGCGGAAAGAAAGAATCAGAAAGATTTTTTTCCTTTGTCATTTTTTGGCCATGTCGAGAGCGAGGGGTTGGCGGCCGAAAAATTTTTCGGGTCTGTCACCATCACCAAAAAACGGCTCACACAACAGCAAAAAAAAATTCCAAAAACGTTACTAACCAATTCTTTGTTTTGTATTTCGGGGGGCTTCTCAGTTACTTTGCAAAAGGTTGTTTGGGGAAGATGAATCGGGGCGTGGCGAATGGGTGGCGGTCTTACGCTTTAATAGGGGGAAATGGGGTTCGACGAGGCGGGATATCGGAGTGGGCTGATAGTGAGGGGTGGAGTGGCTGGTTGGAGTCCTATCGCGTCGCCCAGTGGGTGGCCGCCGGCTGCGGCGCGGGTTGGCGATAGCTCGTGGTGTCGGGCGAGTATTCGCCCTTCACCGGCGGCATACGCGGAGGCTACAATTCAACCATTAAACAACCGGTAAGGGGGGGGGGGGGCAATTAGTAAATAGCACCCGGTACACCCGCTTGCGCTGTTACCCAGAGAAATTGTCCCCCCCCCCCCCACCCCCAGCTAACAGTCCAGAACCGAAAAATGCGTGAAAATCGGCGCAAAAAAGGCAAAAAAGTTTTCGAATTTTCAAAATCGAAAAAATAGTTTTTTAAAGCTTTTTGGAGGAGGAGCACAAAAAAAGAGGATAAAATAAAACTCGCGGGGCGTAGAATTGGCTGTATACCTGGACGGTGGAGGCAGTAGCGGACGGCGCGGCGGGAACAGCGGTACGCACCGAGGCCGGGCTCATCGGCTTCTTCTCGTGCTTCATCTTGGACACACTCTCGTGGGTCGACGACCCCGGTTTGGACATCGATGAGCGCTCCTACGGAGAAGACGTTTTTTTAGTGACACTCGAAATATTTTTTTTCCTGGCATGGCTTAGGCTTGGCTTAGGCTTGGCTTAGGCTTGGCTCTGGCTTGGCTTAGGCTTGGCTTAGGCTTGGCTTAGGCTTGGCTTAGGCTTGGCTTAGGCTTGGCTCTGGCTTGGCTTAGGCTTGGCTTAGGCTTGGCTTAGGCTTGGCTTAGGCTTGGCTTAGGCTTGGCTTAGGCTTGGCTTAGGCTTGGCTTAGGGCTTGGCTTAGGCTTGGCTTAGGCTTGGCTTAGGCTTGGCTTAGGCTTGGCTTAGGCTTGGCTTAGGCTTGGCTTAGGCTTGGCTTAGGCTTGGCTTAGGCTTGGCTTAGGCTTGGCTTCGGCTTGGCTTAGGCTTGGCTTAGGCTTGGCTTAGGATTAGGCTGACCTAGTAATTAAATATAAAGCGTTTGCACATTATTTTTAGTACATTTTAACGATTAATTTTGTAATTAAAATTTGTGTAGTTTTCAGTCTTAAGAATAGCAGCAAACAATTTAGAAACGCATCCGCTTTCCAGCACGGAAATGGGTCAATTTCGGCAAAATCTGGCGTTTTTGCGCCCTGAAAAAGTTGTTCAACCGGTCCCCCCCCCGCTAACAGTCCAGAACCGGAAAATGCGCGAAAATCGGCGCAAAAAAGGTAAAAAAATTTTCGAATTTTCGGATCGAATTTTCAGAATTGAAAAAGTATTTTTTTTTATAGCTTTTTGGCCGCCGAAGAAAAAGAGGATAAAATACACTCGCGGGGCGTAGAATTCGCTGTATACCTGGGTGGTGGTGGTGACGGTGGTCTCGTTCAGCTTGGCCTTTTTCTTCTCTTCCTTCTCCTTCTTCTTGCTGTCCGACTTGCTGTCGCTCTTGATCTCCTTTTTCTTCTCCTTGCCGGCGGCCGTCTCCTTCTGGCGCTGAGAAGACCGTTTTTTAGTGGCAAAATCGCGCGTTTCCGCACGGGACCCGGCCTATCTTGTGCAGCACTTTTTCGCTGATTCCGAATCCGACCGCCAAATTTGCGCAACGATCAAATTCACAAAAGTTCTGAAGCTTTCCGGGGTGGAACTGGCCCAATTTCGGCAAAATCTGGCCTTTTTTTGCGCCCGGTTTGATCGGCTTGCGGCTTTGGCAGACGCGGATACGGAATCGGCGAAAAATTCTGCGCAACGTGGGCTTGGTCGTCTACGGAAACTCGCTTTTGCCCTTTGAACAACTACTCTGACCGGTTGCCTCGATTTTGAGCAAAAATCGGGAATTTCGGTTCTGGACTGTTAGCGGGGGGGGGGAGCACTTTTCACTTTTTCCACCTATGCCAACTTGCTGATGAAATCCAATGTATTTTTATTGTGTTCTTAGCCGTTTTTGATCACTAGCAAGCTACCAAAATAATTTTTTGACTTTTAACTTTCGAAAAGTTTGACCTGGGCTGGTCATTTTAATACATTTTCCGTTTTGAAAATTTCCAATTTTTTTATCATATTGTTTTTAAATGCAAAAACTTTGTAAAATGCTAGAAAAATCGTTTCAATTTTGTTGCACGGGCGTAGAGAATCCTCGCGAACAATTTGGTTCTCCCCCCCCCCCCGTTAAGAGTCCAGTACCCTATCCCCTCAGTTTGTTAAAATATTTTGGTCGGGACCGTAATCTACCTTGGCGCTGGTCGCGGCCTTAGCGTGTAGCGACTTCGTGGACGCGTTGGACTTGTCGGATCCGTAGGACTTCTTGGACTTGTTCGAGGCCTTCTTGTTCTTGCCGCTGCCGGCCGTCGGGGGCGGGGCGTTTTCCTAAAGGGGGGAAACTATCAAAATCTCGAAATTCTGAAACTAAAAATTTGCATACGCCTCGTGCAGGTACCTCCCATCTCAATTCCTCAAACAATCTCTGCTAGCCTGCCCCCTCCCCCTCTCTCTCATCCCAAATGATCTCTGCTAGCCTGCCCCCCCCCCCTCTCTCTCATCCCAAATGATCTCTGCTAGCCTGCCCCCTCCCCCCTCTCTCTCATCCCAAATGATCTCTGCTAGCCTGCCCCCTCCCCCTCTCTCTCATCCCAAATGATCTCTGCTAGCCTGCCCCCTCCCCCTCTCTCTCATCCCAAATGATCTCTGCTAGCCTGCCCCCTCCCCCTCTCTCTCATCCCAAATGATCTCTGCTAGCCTGCCCCCTCCCCCTCTCTCTCATCCCAAATGATCTCTGCTAGCCTGCCCCCTCCCCCTCTCTCTCTCATCCCAAATGATCTCTACTAGCCTGCCCCCTCCTCCTCTCTCTCATCCCAAATGATCTCTGCTAGCCTGCCCCCTCCTCCTCTCTCTCATCCCAAATGATCTCTGCTAGCCTGCCCCCTCCCCCTCTCTCTCATCCCAAATGATCTCTGCTAGCCTGCCCCTCCTCCCTCTCTCTCATCCCAAATGATCTCTGCTAGCCTGCCCCCTCCCCCTCTCTCTCATCCCAAATGATCTCTGCTAGCCTGCCCCCTCCCTCCTCTCTCTCATCCCAAATGATCTCTGCTAGCCTGCCCCCTCCCCCTCTCTCTCATCCCAAATGATCTCTGCTAGCCTGCCCCCTCCTCCTCTCTCTCATCCCAAATGATCTCTGCTAGCCTGCCCCCTCCCCCCCTCTCTCATCCCAAATGATCTCTGCTAGCCTGCCCCCTCCCCCTCTCTCTCATCCCAAATGATCTCTGCTAGCCTGCCCCCTCCCCCTCTCTCTCATCCCAAATGATCTCTGCTAGCCTGCCCCCTCCCCCTCTCTCTCATCCCAAATGATCTCTGCTAGCCTGCCCCCTCCCCCTCTCTCTCATCCCAAATGATCTCTGCTAGCCTGCCCTAACCCTGGCTCGAATCCTCAAAAAGCTTCAAGCAATTTCCAAAGGCATCTCCACCTGCGTGTTGGTGGGGAGCGGCTCCAAACAGAGCTTGCCGTTCTGGTCGAGGTTGAATCGGCGCTGGACCATCGTCGGGGCGGGGGTACCAGTGAGAACCTCGAGCTCTTCGCGGGCGCAATCTTCCTGCATACGGCAAATTAATCTAGCATCCAATAACGACGCCAATACCTCATCAGCCTTTGTCTTGAAGGACACGGCGATAGCGCTTACCCGTCCACTGACAATCGTCTTCTGAAATGGCGACGCCGTTTGCGCTAGTGTTCGTTATTTTACGTATTCTACGAGCCAATGTCAAGAAAAAAAATCGACAGTTTGCGCTTTTTTTTTGAGAAAGCTTTGTAAAGTTTTTTGGGGCATAGGAATGGCTTGGAAACTTTGGGTTCTGGACCGTTAGCGGGGGGGGGGGGTTTAGCAGGGGGGAACTGCTTTCTATTTTTCCACCTCAATCTATCTGATGATACGCTAGGCATTTTTTATGTAGTGTTTTTGGCAGTTATTGATTCCTAGAAAGTTGTAAAAAATACTTTTCTAAATTTTGAAGATTCGAAAACTTTTCACCAAAACTCAAAAATGCTGATTCTTTTTAATATCAAGTTTAATAAATCTTAACTGAGTAGTATGATATAAATAAGGTTTTTAATTAAGATATATGGCCGTAGAGAAACACAAGGATTTGTCCCCCCCCCTTCCCCGCTAACAGTCGAGAACCGGTGGCTGATCCAACGTACAGTACGCCCGAGTTCAGTGAGCAGGGAGGCCATCTTGTTCAGCATCAGCACGGCGCGCTCGATGCGGGCTTTGCCTCCCTTCGCTTTGAGCTTCTAACAAGGAGAAGTTTTTGAGTGTCGTCGGGACCAAGCCTATCTTGTGCAGAATTTTACCGCTGATTCCGAATATGGTGAGTGTTTTTGAGGGATAGCCATTTCTCGAAAGTTATGAACGATTTAAACCTCAAAACAGCTCAAAATCGGCTACTTTCAATAGTCATAAAAGGCTTCAAAATAGGTTTTAGACAAAACCAGATAGTGCATCTTGTTCAGAAAAAAATTCTCTATAAAATAAGCTACTTAACTCAAAAATGCTGAAATTTTGAAAATTTTTGTAAAATTATGGACCTCCCCCCAATTTATCAAATTTTTCCAACTTTTCAATGATTTTGAAAAAGATGGTACATTTTATAGAGAATTTTTTTCTGAACAAGATGTACTAGTTGGTTTTGTCTAAAACCTATTTTGAAGCCTTTTATGACTATCGGAAGTAGCCGATTTTGGGCTGTTCTGAGGTTTAAATCGTTCATAACTTTTGAGAAATGGCTGTTCCGCAAAAACGGTCACCATCTTCGGAATCAGCGGCAAAAATTCTGCACAAGATAGGCTTGGTCCCGACGACACTCCAAAAACTTCTCCTTGTTAGTTGGGGGAGGGGGTTGTTGCATTCCACAAAAAAACCGACCTTCAACATGGCAATGATATCGAGCCCGACGTAGCTGGAAACGCCGTCACCAGCCATCGTGTCCTGAATGGCACAAGTTAGTCCTGGTTAGTCCCCCGCTAACGAACCAGAACCGGCTAATAGTCCGACCCCCGAAAAATCTCCTCAAAGCATCTCTGCATTCTCCCTCTCTCTCTCTCCCTCTCTCTCTCTCTCTCTCTCTCTCTCTCTCTCTCTCTCTCTCCCTCGCCCTCCTTCTGTCTCTCTGTCTGTCTGTCTCTCTCTCTCCCTCTTTCTCTCTCTCTCTCTCCCTCTCTCCCTCTCCCTCTCTCTCTCTCTCTCTCTCTCTCTCTCTCTCTCTCTCTCTCTCTCCCTCGCCCTCCTTCTGTCTGTCTGTCTGTCTGTCTCTCTCTCCCTCTTTCTCTCTCTCTCTCTCCCTCTCTCCCTCTCCCTCTCTCTCTCTCTCTCTCTCTCTCTCTCTCTCTCTCTCTCTCTCTCTCTCTCTCTCTCTCTCTCTCTCCCTCGCCCTCCTTCTGTCTGTCTGTCTGTCTGTCTCTCTCTCTCTCTCCCTCTTTCTCTCTCTCTCTCCCTCTCCCTCTCTCTCTCTCTCTCTCTCTCTCTCTCTGTCTCTCTCCCTGTCTCTTGCTCTCCCTCTCTCTGTCTCTGTCTCTCACTCCTTCTGTCTGTCTCTCTCTCTCTCTCTCTCTGTCTCTCTCCCTCTCTCTTGCTCTCCCTCTCTCTGTCTCTGTCTCTCACTCCTTCTGTCTGTCTCTCTCTGCCTCTCTCTCTGACTCTCTCTCACTCGCCCACCCACATACCAGCAGAAAAAAAATTATGTTTTTACCCGATCGGCACCTCCAGCGAGTCTGCCCTGTGCCTGTATCTCGTCGACATAGTCTCCGAGCTAAATCGACAGGATAAACCGAGATATAGATTCCCGACGCGCTGCAGCTCCTCCGCAGCCACCTCTTCGGTCGCGGCGACCCCGTTCAGGTAGGAGAACTCCTAAACAATCCATGATAAGCCTGGGTGGAGTGCACGAGGCGGAAAACGCCAAACCCCCAGCCAGCACCCAAAATCTGTATCTCGGCTCCTTGTTCATCTACAGGTGTGTAAAGTATACCAAAATACTCGCCTGAGCAAGACGAACATTTTGGTATACTTAACACACCTGTAGATGAACAGGGAGCCGAGATACGGTAGGTGGGGGTCGGCTGGGGGCGGGGGGGGTAAGCACCCTAAGCACGAAATAAGGCACCTCGGTGAACAGTGTATCCATTTCGGCGCGCAGCACCTTCCAGACTTTATGAGCCTCCTTCAGTTGGTCGTGGTGGCCGGCGGTGTGCTGGAAACGGATCGTTTGGCAAGTAGCTCGGGCGCCATTCCAAGCGGTTCTTTCGCATTTTCGGGGGGGGGGGGCGGGGGTTGAATGATTCTTGTAATGCCTGTTGACTAGTGTCTGTCGCAAAATATCACGAGATCTGAACCTGAAAAGCTATCTAAAACCTTTCAATAATGATTGAGAAAGTCGAAATTCGGGGCGAAAAAAACTATTTTTTTGGTATAGTTTTCACAAAATTTTGTGAAGCTTTTGCGCTTGGGCATGGTAAAAACAGCTCTAACACTTCCACTATTCGGTTTTGAAAAATTACCCTACGGAAGATTTTGGTCCCGCCGCCACGATAATGCGAAAGAACCAGAGCGAGAGAGAGAGCGCGAGAGAGAGAGAGAGCGAGAGAGAGAGATAGCGAGAGAGAGAGCGAGAGAGAGGGAGAGAGCGAGAGAGAGCGAGACAGCGTGAGAGAGAGCGTGAGATAGAGAGAACGAGAGAGCGTGAGAGAGCGCGAGAGAGAGTGCGGCTTATTCAAACCGGTTTCGTATAAGATTTCCATGGATGAAATTGTTGGAAGAGTGATTTGGTTTGAATATGACGCACCTACTAGAAACCTACCCTCTGCATGTTTTGACTGCTGTTGTCTGTAGTTGCGCGGCTGTAGTAGATGGAGCGCGAGACCGGCGGGGACGGGTCGCCAAACTCCTGCAACGCGGAATGGAATGAGGGCGAATGTTCGCTGTCGTGGGCGAGGTCGAGCGCCCGGAAATGCAAATATAGGCGTTTACCGTATGCAAATTCGTTTCCCAAATTGGAAATGCAATCCTCAGACGATCTCTCCCAGCGTGCGGTTCTTTCGCATTAACGGGGGGGGGGGCGACCGTAGGTTTCCTTTGTTGTGCATTTTTGGCGCAAATAACTGTGTACAATTTATTTTCCGACACTCGACATTTTCACGAAACATAAACCCAAGAGAAAATCGAAAGTCGAAAACAAGATAATACTCTCTCCTGAGCAGCACCGGGGGTTACGGTAATTCGGTATTTTTCATCGATTAGGGCATAATTTAGAAAGCCAGGGCCACAGTCGCCGCGCCGAGCGCCAAGAATGCGGATTCGGTAGTGGGGGCAGAGTTGAAGAAACGCTGGTTCGGGTTCATCGTCCTGAAATCAAAAATATAATATAAGTTTTGAGGTTTCCCGATTGGATTGGCCAAACTGGTAGGCAGGCTACAGACTCCAAACTTTAGAATCAGACCACAGACTATAAAAAGCTACCAGGTGAACGACCCGGGTTCGATCCCCATCCGCGCCAAAACTTTTTGCTTTTTGAAAATTGCATGGATTTCTTGATGGAAAGCTATGAATTGGTAACTAAACTACAGATTCCAAACTTTATAATCAGGCTACAAGCTACAAATTTCCTGCCAGGCGCACGACCCGGGTTCGACCCCCGTCGGCGGCGCATTTTTTTGCTTTTTGAATTTTGGGTCTATTTTTCACTTAGAATCGCTTGGCTGGCATCCAGACTACAGACTACAACCGGTATCTATTCAAAAACTCACGTGGTGCTGCCGAATCGGGTGGTGGTGTAGCCCTGGTTGTTGTTGTTGTAGCCGTTTCGGCTAAAAAACGCGATTTATGGAATTTTGGCAATCTAGCCTGGATTTTTGAGGTTATTCCGGTAAACTGGCTAGCAGATATTATTCAGGAATGGGGAAACTTCTAAAAAATTACTTTTTGAGGAACCGGCAAGCCAAAAACCCCAAAAATCGCGTTTTTTAGATTTTTAGATTTTTTTGCAATCTAGCAGAGATTTTTGAGGATATTCCTGTCAACTGGATAGCAGAGATCCTTGGGGAATTGAAAAAAAGTGCAAAACGTACGTGGTGGTGGCTCCGTACTGTTGTTGTTGTCCGTACTGCTGGTTCTGCTGCGGGTATTGGCTGTTCGAGTTCTGATATTGGTTGTATCGGGTCGGCTGCGAGGATTGCGACATCGGCGCGTACTGTAATAACATTTATTAATTACTTTGAAATTGAGAAAATATACATTTTTATTTTCCAAAAATCGTGGTTTCTAGAAAAATGTTTCATACAATTTCAAACTTCCAAAAATTTTGTGAACCGCAATTCAGGGTCTTTTTTACTTCAAATATCCTCGTAAATCAAATATCGTTCAATTTGAATAATCAATAAATATCTAATTATAAAAATAAATATATGTGGTACCATTAAAAAAAAGAAATAAAAATCAAACAAATATGGACGACGTTTATTTTTGGAAAAATGAATTTATTTGTATTTTGTGAAGAATGATTAGGCCGTAATTTTGCCCGAATTAAAAACCAGTTTTTCAAATCTTCTATTTATTTAAGCCATACTTTTACCATAAAAATTTTTATTAAAATACAGCGAAAAGGATCAAGAAAAATTAAAAAAACTTTTTCTAATTTTTCGGAAATTTCAATGTTTCTTCAAATCCCAAAAGTCCGACATTTTTTGGGCTCCAATTCTTGCTCTCTTTTTTCAAAATTGTCGAAGCCAAATAAAATCGTAAAATTAGCTCGTTACAAAATGCGAAAATAAAATACAAATAATAATTTTTATTTTTTTAGCATAATCAAATTTTCCGAATTAAAGCGCCACCCAAAGATCATTAATTTACTTTTCAATTTACCTATCAATTCTTAAATTTCAATGTTTTCGGTAATTTTGTGTGATTTTGTGGGTTCTAAATTTCGATTAAATCTGTTCAAATCCAAATTTATTGCGAAAATTAGTTCTTAAAAAATTGATAAAAAATTGTTAGGGGGATGGATAAAGTAAAAGCAGAAAATCGATTAAATTGAAATTTTCGAGAATTTGGATGTTTCAGTAAATCATAAAAATTGAAAAGCATTGGAAATCGCTATTCAGTCCATGATTGCCGCAATTTTAAAAATACATTTACTCAGAATCGCAATAATCATAGTGCCAAAATTTTCATGGAATCTGGTGAATTCAAAATTGAAACATCAAAAGGTAAAAAATTGGCTTTTTCGATTTTTTCGATTTTAAGATTATCTTTTTGATAATTCATTTTTCGCACTTTTTATAATTTATTTTTACATATGCTTTTTATAATTTTATAACGTATATAAGAAAATAGTGTACCTGTCCCTGTTGCTGTTGGGCGACGGCGACGGCGAAGATGACGGCAAGGCACACCAGGGAGGTTCGCGACATTCTAGAATGATTCGAAATTTAAATTGTTCTTGCGAAATTGAAATGATTTGAGATTTATAACAATCGAAGCGCCTTTAATCATATCAACAAAAATTTTTTTGAAATTGAAAAAGCAGAAAAATTCGGCAGGAAAATGGATAAAATCCCTACCGTAATTCTATAAATTCCTGGCCTGGTAAATTAAATATGTTTGGTATCATTTATTTAATTTGAATACATTTGCTACAATTTATATTATTATCATATTATTATAAAATTTAAATAGCGATTTTACGCCCAGAAAATCACTTTGGCGAATTTTTAAAAAATGTGTTTCAGCTATTTGGGATTCGCTGGGTGAAAAATTGTGGATAATCTTCTGCTTTGGCTTTGGCAAAATCAGCAAAATAATAGAAATTCAACGTTTAATTAAATTTAGAATCTAGAAAACGCTACCAATTTCAATTTAAGTCATAAATGTTTCAAAAATTGAGGCAATCTGTGTGGTTTTTAAAGGCTTAATGACGGGTTTATGGTAGGTTAAATCCATCTGACGAAAAGTGCAAAAGATTTTTCGCGGAGGGCCCGCTAGCAGCGACCCGTTGGGAGATTGGAATCGCTTAGCTGGATGCCGCCCGAAACGTTCCTAGGGCAGTCTAGCACAAATTATTTGGGAATCCCGAAAACTGTCCGAAAAGGGGGAATTTTTGAACGGTTCCTAGGTCAAAATAGGGTGGACAAGCTAGCAAAGACAATTGGCGGAATCGGAATCGCTTAGTTGGCAAGCTAGCAGGCTTCTTTGAGGAATTTTCGAGACCAGCTAGTCAAGGTTCTCTACGGAAGTGGAAATCCGCAAGAGACAAGAGGCGTTGCCGGGTTACTGTAACGTTCAGAACGTGAGGGGGAGGTTAGCAGGGACGATTTGGGAGGTTAGAATTGTTTAACTGGCCCCCAGTTTAGCTGATAATAACGCAGGATGGCAGAGATTCTTGCGGAACGTTAAAAAAGCAGACAAACGGCTGTAAAAAAAGCTGTTTTTCAGGTTTTTCGTCACAAAATGAACCGGGCAGGCTAGCAGAGACCATTTGGGAGGTCGGAATCGATTAACTGGATGCCAATTTATCGATTGGCAAGCTAGCAGGGGTTCTTCGCCGAAATTTAGGGGCAGGCTAGCAGAGATTCTTAGAAAAAATCCGCAAAAGACTATCCGGTGACCAGAGTACGCGGTGCTCCTCTAAACGGAGTACTGTAGAGTTGAGAGGGAGTTGTGTGGAGGGCAGCAGCTGCCCCCTCCACCCCTTAAATATACAGATCCGCACCGCGCGGCCCGAGAAATTGAAAATGTTTACCCACCTCCATGCCCTCCCCAAATAGGCCACGCCCCCTTTTGCTCTGGGACCCAAGAAATGGGCCCAGGGCCCACCTTTGGGTCCCAGTTAGACAAAATATGGACAGAGCTATGCAAATAAACATCGTACTTTTGCGGAAAACACCGAAAAGTCGAAAATGACGTTTTTGGCGAGCTTTTAACAGACTAGCAGAGATTTTTGAGGAATTTTTTGAATTGTTTTCTAGGAAATTCGATAACTGGTAGACAGCAAAGGTATTTGAGGATTACCCGATTCCCTGATGACTTCAGTTAGCTTTCGAAAAGTATCTGTTCGTTCCGGTGTGCTTTGTTTCTTTTTTATCGTTTTTCTTAATTTAAAAAATGGGTTTCATCCCAATTTCCAGTAAAACCGCGTTGCCTCTTCTCAATCCATCAAGGAACCGATTCGTTAATATGCCTTTTCACAGCGCTTTTATAGACTTTGATCAGCTTTAATTAACTTTGATAAAATTTTTATGCTAAATTTAAATAAAACTTTACAAGCGTTAATTTAATTCTGAATTAAAAACGTGCTTTTTATATCATTGTTGAGGAAAAAGGGACTGAACACTTGATAATTCAAAGCAGCTTTCGTATGTGGACCAGGGAAATTTTATTGTTAGTTATGTAAATTGTAGCCGTTCAATCCAGTCACGACAGTAATTATCATGAAACATAATTGTTATTCGAAAAATTGAACTTTCAAAAATTCTCCGGAAGCGATTCACTATGAAATAACGAAAAAATTGTTAATCGTGCTCTTTGTGATGTTTCAATTGCGCCTGGGCATCTCATCCAGTGAAGTACTTTTTCTGAAATATACTTTTTTGCACCAAAAATCGAAATTTAAAAAATTCTGAAATCTACGTTTTTTGCACTGAAAAATCAAAATTTTAAAAAATGCTTTTACGTCATTTTTTTGAGAAAAAAAATCACTGAAAACATCATATTTAAAGCAGCTTGTGAGTATCTCCCATTTTCGGATTAGGTGTACGGTTAAATCGTAGCAGTTCAGTTCACCCAGCCCAGTAATTTTCGTGAAACATTGTTTTACCGAGACGCTTTACGCGTTCAATTTTAATTTAGCAACTTAAAAATTTCTAAAAATGTATGCACCTCAATTCATCGCTATAAACGGCAAAGCAGGTTTAGTTTTAGCAGAAGAATGGAAAACTTGACTTTTGCAAGTTTATGGAACTTTTGCTGAATGCTGGTTGGAATTGCAGCGGTTAAATTCACCTGGCTAGTAATTTTTACGAAACATACATTTTAGGAGGCGGATTGCCATTTTCAAAAAGGTGTGTTTCGATGCAATTCAAAGTAAAAAGCAACAAGATGATAGTATTCGTCGTATAACTTCGTCTTATTTTTGCAGCTTTATGGATTTCACAAATTTGGTTGGACGATTGAACTCTGGAAAGTCACCCAGGGTACCAATTTCCCTGATTCATACATTTATTGCACCAAAATTTCGAAATTTTAAAAAGCGGTTCATCTCATTTTTGCGAGAAATGAACTGAAAACATCATTATTCATAGCAGCTTTCGAAGCGGACTATCTTGGAAATTTTATTTTAATTCTACTCGGGAAGGCCACTCAGGGTAATAATTTTTAATTGATTAACTGCCAGGTGCCCGACCAGGGTTCGACTCCCGGCCGCGGCAAGCATTTTGCTCTTTGAAGTTTAAGAGCGGATTTTTATTTGAATAACTAGACTGTCTCGCAGATTAAAAACTACAACTCTTACTTCGTGGCTTCAGACTACAGAAAAGCTATCAGGTTGATGACCCGGGTTCGACTCCCGGTCGCGGCTAACTTTTTGCGTTTTGGAATTTTGGTCCACATTTTCATTCGGATTGCTAAACTGTCGGGCAGACTACAAAATAGAACGCTAATTACTATTATATAATGTTTTTTGGGAGGTAAATATGGCCACTAAGGCATTTCGGGGGGTGGAGAGTAGGCGATGGGTACACGAAGAAGCATCACGGAGAGTAGACAATGCAAATATAATCACAAATATCAACACACAAATAGACAGAGCAGAAGACAGATAGAAGACAGACAGATAGAGACACACACAAACAAACAGAGAACCCCCTCACAAAGCGCGGGATTAAACCCGAAATTTGCACCCGAAAAACCCGGGGGACTGGCAAATGGTCTCTGCTAGCTTGCCGGCATTAATGTTAAGTGGGGTAGTTATTACCCTAGCTGCCAGCTTAGCGATTCCAAAAAAATTAAATTCCTAGCTACAAACTATGAAAAATTAGAAAAATTCTAAATTCATGGGAAGGGGGAAATATGATCTCTGCTAGCTTGCCAAGGGTCAATTTTAAGTGATTTACTTTGAAGTCTGAATGTCAGTTTACCTAAAGATGCCAAAAATTAGGTTTTAGCCACAGACTACAAACAATCGAACGCTTCGAAATTGCGCAAACTCTAATTTTTCCCATTTTCCGGTAGATTCCTGTTGACATTTGGAGGTACTGTAGATGATTGGTATGATCTATTCGAAAGAGGAGAATGAATTCTATCACATCCCAACACTATCATCTACCCTATCCCTAGATCTAGTCATTTAAAGGGGGCAGAACATCTCAGATGTTTCATCTTTTTTCAAGGAGAGCCTTGTGACGGGAGATGGTAATAACGACGCGTTAGCTGATTTGTTGCCTGTCCTGTCTGACAGTTTAGCCATTCCCATAAATAAAAAAAACTAAATTTTCAAAAAGCAAAAAGGTCGACCTCCGCGGGGGTCGAACCCATGGAGTAAATCTTACTCAATTTTTTCGATCCATTTTTTTGGATCCGGTTTTTCTGTGTTGGCTTCTCGTTGAGATAGTGTATGCACTCGAAAGGGAGAGGTATCCCCTGATGTCTGATATATTTGATAGTATTTGTTTGATTGGATGGATAGAAGATCAAATAGATAAGAGATCTCGTAATCAAACACATCCACCCCATCCATCAAATATATCGAAAGCCGGTTTTTTTTGCGGGATCTAAGCTAACCAATCGCCAAACTGACAGGTAGACTACAGACTACAACACTTAAATTGAGGCTACAGACTACAGAAAAATAATACGGGGCGAAACACCGAGTTTCGACCTCAGCCATGGGCTACCTTTTTGCTTTTTGAAAATTGGAAGGATTTTGCGGATTCGATCGCTAGACTGGCAGCCAGACTACAGACTACAACACTTAAATTGAGGCTTCAGACTATAAAAAAAGCTATCAGGCGCACGGCCCGGGTTCGAACCTCGGCCGCGGCTAACATTCGCTTTTTGAAAACTTGTTGGACTTTTCGATTAGAATGCCTAAGCCGGCTTGCCTACCAACTACAAGCCGTAAATACAGGCCCTAATCACAAAAAATCAACCGGAGTTTTTCCTAAACATGTAATGTTTCATGCAGAGGACAACAAAATATGCGAATCGATATTCTTAAACTATCGAATCTTATGAAACATTTTTGCAGAAGTTCTGTATCCAGAAATATTTAGTTTTCTACGACATTTATTGAAACGATATTTCTCAAAAATGCCTTGTCAAAATTTAAAATTTAAATAGCTTTGTTGAACTTTAAAAAAGCTAAAAATACGGGGTTTTTTCGATAGCAGCGGGAAAGAATTTCAGATGCGCACCGGTG